AACAGTGTTCAGCAGCTGTGGGCCATCCTGCCCTCGCTCCTGTGATGACCTTACTGTGAGTATCACTAGTGTGACTCCTGTCTGTCACTCGATGTATTTCATGCTTCTTATCCACAACCAGGTTCTGGAGGGTGTCATCAAAACAAGCTCAGTCCTCCCTCTCCTCAGCACCTCCTCCAGGTTTTCCAGGGTGATGCTGAGGTGAAATAATTTATCAACCATGCCCTGGGTCATGGTGGGAACTGCCTCATGAAAGTTCTCCTCCTGTTTAAGCCTTTGAAAAAAAACATTCTGCCACTTGTATCTACAGTCTTATCCTTTCAGCCACTACCCACAGTATTGTACTGATAACTAAGTCCTTAACAGACTGGTACCAATCCACCTGTCAGCCTCCCACTTTGATCTGGTTCCACAGAGTGGACATCCACCCTTTTCTGACTTATGTCAGACGTGGATGTGCTTATTCTCACACTCATTACTGGGGATTAATAAAAGTCCTAATTCCCCCCCCCCCTCTCTCTCAGCACTGTGAGTGGCACTGTGAGCCAGGATGCTACTGTACAGAGGGAAAAGTCATGTCTGCTAATGGGACCGTCTGTTTAGAGAAGGAAGATTGTCCCTGCCTGGACCTTAACACCGGGCGACGACTGGAACCTGGAGACACCATTGAAGCCATTGATGGATGCAACAACTGGTCAGAATTATACAAACACAAGAAGCACACGTAACACATGTAAAACACATTAGGATACACAAAGATAACCAGTTAGAAAGGAAACCTGAAGATCCTTCTGATCCTTTGTTCTTTAGCACCTGCGAAGGTGGGAAATTCAACTGTACTCGAAACCCTTGTCCAGGTAAGTAAAGCCAGCTTTCAGTTTCAGTCAGATCATCTTAATAGTGTTAATATGTAGGACGATGTAGACAATGGCTATGTCTTGTAGTGGGTATAAAATAGCACAGATAGTTGTTACATCCAATTTAGTGTCAGGTGGCTGGTGTGAGTGGTCAGAGTGGACCCCTGCTCCAGGACCTGTGGAGCAGAGTCGGTGACCCGATACAGAAGCTGCAGCTGTCCTGAGCCAGAGGCCGGAGGAGAGCCGTGCTCTGGTGAGCAGGAACTGCACAGTGGGGTTGGAGTTCAGATCCACAGGCAGCCCTGCCCTGTCGTTACTTTCTGTCCAGGTGAGATGATAATGTCTCATGGAAGACACATTCGCACAGTTTGTAAATGTTCTGGATGCGTGTGGCTGAAACTACTTGCCTTTGGGCTGAAGGTCAGAGGTCAGAGGTCACGTTTTCTGAAAATCTTGTGAATGCAGTAACTCAAGATGGAAGTCAGCTAGGATTTTTGATTTTATAGCATTTATACAGATTTCTGTGTCATGCTGAAAAATGACCTACTGTTATTGCACTTTTCTCTCTCACTGAGATATTACAGTTTTGTTTTGCTACTGTTGTTAATCACTGTGCATTTGTCTCTTACTTATAGCCTCGACCGTTTCAAATATTTTCAAATATTAATATTTTAATTTGTGTCGGTTTTCTTTTTGGTTTTCTGGTTCCAGCTACAGATTCTCAGTTACATCAGAGTAGTTGTACCTCTTCTTCTTCTCATTGCCGTACTGTGTCTTTAGTTCATGGCTCGTGGAGTCCCTGGTCCATGTGGTCAGAGTGTGATGGATGCACAGGATCGTCGACTCGGACCAGAGAGTGTAACAGTCCTCCTGCTAGATTCGGCGGTCTGCCGTGTCTGGGAGAGGGGAGGCAGAGCCGCCCTTGCAGTGAAAATCTCACCATCTGCTCAGGTTAGCATAGCTGTGGGTTTCATTCACTTTGACCGTAGAACTGCATAAACACTGTTCCACTTTTAAAAAACGATGTGGATGGTAATTCTATTCAAACCTTGTTCTCAGACTGTGGTGGAGGCCAGGAAGAATGGCCTTGTGGGAAGCCCTGTCCTCGCTCCTGTTCAGATCTCCATGGTGACACAGAGTGCTTGGACTCCCCGAGTGTAACGCGACCTGTGGTTGTCCTGGTGACACGGTGCTGCAGGACGGAGTGTGTGTGGTGAGACAGGAGTGTCGCTGCAAATACCACGACAGCTCTGCTAATGGTTTGATCCTAATTTTGCTAACTTGTAAATATCAGCGTGTTAGACTGTGAACATTTTACTCCACTCAGTGTGATCATTTGCTCTGATCGGTCTATTTTTGTGCAGATTCAAGCAATGCATCGTGGCTATGGCCCGGTGGATCTGATTGGCTGTTTGCAAATCCAGGAGAGAAAATTATCAGTGACTGCAAAAACTGGTAAGCAGCTGATTCTTATTTTGGTTTAATTCACTCTTAATGTTCGAATAGCAAAAAAAATAATGCCACATAATGTTTTTTCCCGACCTAATCTCAGCTCGTGTGAGGCTGGCGTTCTGCAGTGTCAGTCTGTCCCCGGCTGCCATGTCGACGGTGGCTGGAGCCAATGGGGAGCCTGGACTGAATGCTCTCTTTCATGTGGCGGTGGAGTCAAGTTCAGAAGGCGCCTGTGTGATAATCCGTCTCCGCAGAGTGGCGGAAGAGGCTGCCTGGGTGATGCTGAGCAGCAGAGAGACTGCAACACGCACCTGTGCACAGGTAGTCATGACGGGCTCATCTAGGTTTTTTACACTACCATCTGCATTGTTACATGTGTGATGTCTGTCTGTATTGTGTCTCCAGAGTCAGTGGGCCCGTGGTTGCCGTGGTCTCAGTGGTCCGAGTGCTCGGTCAGCTGCGGTGGAGGGCAGCAGTACCGCTCTCGTCTCTGCAGCCTTCCAGCGTGCAGCGGTCGTCAGAGCAAGATCTGCAACACCCACGTCTGCCTCGGTGAGCGTCTGCTTCCTGTGCAGTATTTGTAGCCATGCTGCAAAGTTATATTTACACTGCTCCAGTTGGAGGACTGTTTAATTAGTGTCTTTAACTGCTGTTGCTGCGTGGGCTTCATGTCGCTCTGCAGAGGTGGGCTGCCCTCCTGGCAGGCTGTACAGGGAGTGTGAACGAGGAGAAGGTTGTCCTTTCAGCTGCGCTCAGGTCAGCGGCAGGGAGGGATGCTACGCTGACGGCTGCGAGGAAGGCTGCCACTGTCCCGTGCACACCTACCAGCACCGTGGACTCTGCTTGTCGGTGGGTTCAGAGTAACTTCAGTAGTAGACATGTGACGTTTTAAAAGTGCAGCACAGAAAATGAAGAGCATGAACCAGGCTGTGATGCACCACTGAGAAGATCATTTCAAACTGATGCAGTTTCTTCTCTTTAGAGGGTGTTTGTGTTTGGTGTGTTTCAGGAGTGTCCATGTCTGGTGGATAAAGAGCTGCTGGCCTCTCTGCAGAGCGTCTCTGTGACACCAGTCGCATCCCTGCTGTTTCATAACATCTCAGAGGATATGGAGCTCCAGTCTGGAGATACGTTTGTCCATGACTGCAGCGCCTGGTAAGCAGAGAACTTTGGGAATAATATTACAATTTAAAAAAAAAACATATTTTAAATAACTACTTCCAAAGTAGTCGTGACATCCCGTTCAGGTGGGGGCAGCTATCAAAGTGGGAGAGGTGGGCTGCACCGTGGACACGTCGAAGTATCCATGGAAATCACTGCAAAGCCGTTATCACAGGAATGACACCGTTGTCATTTGAGATGGACTGAGTTGAGAGCAAAATTTTATGGCCTCATTCAGATCTGATTGAGTCATTAATTCTGAACAGTTGATGCTGGTTTTATACAAACCTGCTGATATCCAGACAGCCCATTCTTCAGGGCAGGCCTTTCTTCTTATTAGCAAAGATAACGCCAAAGCACAGGATGGATGCATTCCAGCACTGTGGCCCTGTAATAAAGACTTCCAGTGTCAAACTGGCCTGTCCACAGTCCACCGGTCCCACTTTGAGAACATCTACCACAGTGTACAGCTACAACCTGAACTGGTGCGCAGCTACAATCCTGTACTGAGTAAGAAATGGAAAACATTTGTTGTTGTGACACAGTGGGAGCGATGCCAACTGTGTCATACGTATAAAACAGTGTAAAACTGCTGTTATATGGAAAATCACCACCAGTCTACCCTTTTGTTCCCCGTAGCGAGTGTGTGCATGGCAGGTGGAACTGTTCTCTGGAGCACTGTCCTGTACACGGTGCTTTGTCTTCCTGGGGCCCCTGGAGCCCTTGCTCACTATCCTGCGGTGGTTTGGGGCTCAAAACCCGCTCTAAAGGTTGCACACAGCCCGCCCCGGCCCGTGGAGGGAGAGACTGCCAGGGGCCACGGAGGGAAACGACCTACTGCCAGGCCCCTGACTGTCCAGGTACTTTGGAGAGATTCTGTAGAACACGTGTAATATGTGTATTTCAGGGATGAAGGTCAGATTCATGAAAAGCTGCTTTTCCCCTCCAGCTACTGTTGTTCCAACAGAAGAACCAGCCACACCGGGTAGGTTCACTTTTCTGTGCACTCATTTGACTCTGTTCCTTTGGTTGCCATTTTCTTGTATTTGTGCATGCTGTTTAGGCTTTTCTTATCTTAAATATCCTCTCTGTATTTCATCATCTTTCCGTTTCCATCTCCTCAGAGGAGGACTCTGGGTTCTCTCCCTGGTCGCCGTGGAGTCCTTGCACAAAGACCTGCACCGACGCTCTCAGCCCGGCCCTGAAGTCCCGCCATCGACAGTGTGTGACACCAGTCTGTTCTGGAAGCTCTCACCAAGAGAAGGCATGCAACTTGCCCCAGTGTCCAGGTACACCACGCCCACTGTCTGCCTGCCTCTATTTATTTAATAAATCAGTTTGTGTTGCCTTATATAACTATAATATAAAGTACAAGTTAGTGCTCAGTTGATATGACTGCAGGAGCTGCGTGTGTGGTTCTTGCTTTGATGAATACAAGCGTCAACCAAGCTTATGTGTTTTGTGTTTCTGTTTTGAGGCGAGGTGTGTGTAGAGGCCGAGTGTGTGCGAAGGAACTGTTCGTGGACCAAGTGGGCAGAGTGGAGCACTTGCTCGCGGTCCTGCGGCGTGGGTCAGCAGCAGAGGATCCGAACGTTCCTGAGCCCCGGAACAAACGGCTCGTGGTGCGAGGACATCCTCGGAGGAAACGTGGAGCATCGCTTCTGTAACATCAAACCCTGCAGAGGTCAGCTGTAATTATCAGTTCAAACTCTTCAGTGAAGGAATATTTAAAAAGCCAAAGAGAGAGTTTCATTTTTCACTTACTGGTCTGCGTTTGTGTTCGATGTTGTGTAGTTGATGGAGGCTGGTCCCGGTGGAGTCCGTGGTCGCGCTGTGATAAGCGTTGCGGCGGCGGACGCTCGATACGCACTCGCTCCTGCTCTAGTCCTCCACCCAAAAATGGTGGAAAGAAGTGTGCAGGAGAGAAGAACCAAGTGAAACCTTGCAACACCAAACCGTGCGGTGAGTCTGATCTACCACGTCCTGCGTTTGGCTCGTCATTGTTCCAGCATATGGCTGTTTATCTACAGGAGTGTGTGTTCAGCCTGTGCAGATAGCATCATGGCAAAACTCAGGAACTGCTGTCTGTGTATTGTCAAATGATAGAGGGTGCCCACCAGGCCAAGAGTTTGTGATGTGTGCCAGCCAGTGTCCACAGCGCTGCTCAGACCTCCAGCAGGGCATAGAGTGCCAGACCAACAGCGAATGTCAGCCTGGCTGCCGCTGCCCTCAAGGTACACAAGTCACACCTCATATGTGCGTGTCTTTGTCCGAAAAGTTCCTCTCCTGGCACTGATTTAACCCCTAAACTGTTCTGTGCTCTCCACTGAGAGAATAGCTTCGCGTCTAGAAATGGGTTTGTTATAACTCCTCTGCCTTCTTTAGGATTCGGGGTTCTGAGAATATACAAATTCCTAGAGTCCTGAATCCCCAACATGTGCACGGGATCCCCCAAGATATCTGCACACAGCTGACTCAGCGTAAAAGTTCTCTGCAGTTCTCAGTAGAACCTTCTAAGAGACGTAATTCAGTTACAAATGGTGTTTACTCCAGTTAGAAACTGTTGAATTGGAACAGACTGAGTGGCTCATCAGTGGTAAAACAAAAGCAGAGCGGACTGTAACAGGTAACACAGGCCTTCAGTTTAACAGCATTATCAGGCAGCCAGTCATATTCTGTTGATGTTTGATTGACCTTGGTTGGGTTATTTAGGTGTAAGAGTTGTTTCCACTGTTTAAAACTGGCTAAATCTTTTAAAGATAAATAACCTAACCGGCTCGACGTCACACAAGTATTAGAATTTAGTTTTTTCCAAAGACATTATAGGAGTGAGACGAGGAAAAATCTTAAAGTGAGTCTGGGAGAATTCCCCAACAATAAATATGATGGCAGAAATCAACAACAACAGGTTTAACTGGTGATTCTGTAATGGCCCTGTGGACCATTAAGATGACATCTCATTTAGATGATGTTTCAGAGTAGCTGTGCAGTGCAAGGCGTCATTCTGCTGCCAAGTGATGAGATTTGCATCTAGAATTGTTTTGTTAAAACGAATTCATTTTTTTCATTAGCATGAATCGTGGTTTGCGTATCTTTTGTACGTGTGTGTTTAGGTCAGTTGCAGCAGGACGGGGTGTGTGTGCAGCTGTGGCAGTGTGACTGTGTGGACTCACTGGGGCAGATTTGGGTGGCCGGCAGCACGCATCAGGTGGACTGCAACAACTGCACCTGCTCTGACGGACAGCTGCTCTGCAGCAATGACAGCTGCCAGGCCACCTGTGTTTGGAGCTCCTGGTCCAGCTGGGCTCCTTGCAGTGTTTCCTGTGGACAGGGCCAGAGAACCAGATACAGGTGAGGTCTCCTGGGACCTGGACGAAGGAGACATGGTTTGTTTTGTAAACTGTTAAATTCTTGTTTGAGCACGTCCGTGTTTGGACATTAAAATGGGATCCAGACGGAGGAAAGGTTTTTTTACAAATCTGAAACTGGATTTTAAACAGGTTTTAAGTGGTACGCTCTTTAACAACAAGACGGAGATCATAACGATCAGAAAATCTATCATATTGTTTCCAGTGTAGAGATGGCACGATGCCACTTTTTTATGTCCGATACCGATATCATCAATTTGGATATCGGCCGATACCGATATGAATCAGATATAGTGTTTTTTAATCAATAAAACTGTATTTTTTAAATATCTTGCTGCTTTTTGTATAAGTTCATACTCAAGTTTAAAAAAACAACTACACTAAAGCTATTCTGTTATACCTGTATGTAAAAAAATACAACAAAATATTTCATAGTTCAGCAAAACTGATCAATCTAATAAACTTAAACCTGCTCCATCCTCCCTATTCTGGTGTTTTAAAGAGTACTTTGCAAACTCCCAGGAAAAAAAAATAGGGAACCCCCCCCCCCCCCCCCCCCACCCTCCACCTCATGATGCTTAATCAACGTAATCAACTTTAATATGATGCAGTGTGAAAAAAGAAAAAATGCACAGAAATAAATAATTTTTCTACAATAATAAAATAGATTCAACATCTTTCTTCTACAGAACTGCAGACTGCACAGATGGTATCTTCCCAAAGGAAAAAGTACATAGCTTACTAGTATATTAGACTTAACAGTTACTATATACAGTAATGGACTTCTATATATTTTACACCAGATTAAAACTTTGGGTGTAAGATTCAGATAATTATTTATTGAAAGCTCGACATTTTAAATGAGAATAAGAAAGAAAAGTATGTCTTTGTGCCCCCTTTTCCCTGTTATTGCCCTATCGGCCCCCCTGGCTACACTTTGCTAGATCCGCCCCTGCACAGTTACAGCCGTCAGCTGTAGAAAAAGATCCTCGAGTAGAAAGTAATATTAAATAAATTCTAACAACAGCTGATCAAGCTTAAACGTGCTGCTGTTGTTCAGCCGCTGGTTTCCTCTTTCTGGTGCAAAGTGGGCCAAAAACAAAGAAGAGAGACGGACTCACGACAGAAAAGCCGATCAGCTGATCACTGATCAGTTTCATGATTGAAGTAGCAGCAGCAGAGAGAGAGAGAGAGGCAGTCGCTCCATATATCGCTTGTTAAGCTTTACAAACATTCAGAGATGAACTTACACACTTGCTTTACTTCTCTCTGGGATCACTTCAGAGATGAAATGCTGGTTTGGTAGTGAGGCTACAAATACACACAGCCGCTCTATCACTGACCACACTGCTCCGACATGTTACGGTTATGAGCCGAGTTACGCCGTGTTGCAAGTTTTGTGAGGTGCTTTTTTGATATCTAATGGATCGGATTACATTTTTTATTTCTCTCCGATATCCGATCCAGTAATTTACGTCAGTATCGGACCGATACCGATACGTAATATCGGATCGGTCCATCTCTACTCCAGTGTTTGTCTTCTGTAATTGCTGAATTAAGGATAAAGTTGATTCGAGTTGTCTGAGTCAGTGTGACGATTAACTCTGTCGTCTGTCTTTTGTCCGTGTCAGGAGATAAAATCGGGGCTCTGCGGGAGCCGGAGCGTCACTTGCTGAAAGCATTTCTTTCAAAAGAATGAATTTGCTGCTGATCAGACACCTTCCTGATGGATAGTTAAATAGCTTCGTTTCCATGGTACTGCAAGTTCTCAATGCTAATTCCAAATCTTAGAATTTACAAATAACATAAGATACATTTAACACTTTAAATCACATATGAAAGCAGTCACGGAGTAACAGATTAGTGATCCAGGCTTCCTGCTACCACAGTAAGTCAGCAATGTAAACAATAATGGGACACCGAGGGAACACGTTGCCACTTTGAGGAGGTCCAGCACAGACCCTGCAGTCCAGGAACCTGCCCGCCTCTCTGTCTCCTTGACAACCAGACGCTCAGTGTGGGTGACACCTGGCTCCAAGGAGAATGTAAACAATGGTGCGTTAGATAAGGACAGAGGATATGGATGTTAATGACAAAAATGAAATGTCAGTGATACTGTGCTGGAAGCTCTGCCTGTGTTTCTTCTAGCACGTGCACTCCAGAGGGAGTTTTCTGCCAAGACATCGACTGCAGAGGTGCGTCGCCGTGTTTCTGTGAAAGAGTGTCGCAGATGTTTGAAGTCCTTGCAAAGAAAGTTGTGAAAATCCTTTGTGCTGTTTCCAGTGGACGGTGCTTGGACCCCCTGGTCGGTGTGGTCTGACTGCTCAGCGACTTGTGGTCGGGGCACACATGTTCGAACCCGCGCCTGCATCAACCCCCCACCACGAAACAATGGTTCTCACTGCAGCGGGCCAGAGAAAGAAACACAGGACTGTCAGACCCCTCCGTGCCTGGGTCTGTATCTTAAGGCAAGGAAAGAAAAGCCACATATTCTCTCCAATCAAAGGGAATTTCATTTACTCTTGTATCAACAGATGACCTTTGCCCTTGGTCTCCTTGGTCACCGTGCTCCCAGACGTGTGGGGCGGGGTCTGTATCACGACACAGGGCGTGTGTGTGCGAGCAGGGAGGAGATGCGGCGTGTCCCCCTGAGATCGAGGCTGAGAGGAACCGCGTGGAGACGCAGCTGTGCTACAAACAGCCCTGTCCAGGTACAAGAGTCATGCTGGCAGCACTGAAGCCAGACTAACAGCCACGATCGCTGTTTGTGCTGTTTGTCTCTGAACAGCTGACGGCTCTGTGTGTCTTCAGCATTTCTGAGAAGCCATTGTAATTAGAGGAACTTCAGCTGAGCTCATTAAACGATTGGACATAGTTGCAGTGACTGTTACTGATGAACACAGAGTTATTCTAATATATTATTAGGTAATGAGCTATATGGGCACAGACCAGAGTACATGTAGGGACACAACATTAGAGACTAGACTGGGGAACCACAGAGTGACATTAAAGGGTTTATTGGATCTTTGTTTTTTAGCGTCACATTGCATTATTAGGTCTCCATAGTGACTTAGTATGGTATAGATTTTCTGTTGAAGGAATATATTTCATATATGCAACCTGCTGAGCTGTATCTCACATCGCAGGACGAAGCCGTGCAGTAAAGTTACAGCTGCGCAAAATAAGAGTTAAGTCACATATGCAAAAAATGTTTTAGTGGTTGATCCCAGTCTGTTTCACACTGCTGGAGCTAATAGGACACAGATTGCAGATGTTTGCCACAGAGAATATTAAATCAGTCAAACTAACTTCACTTGTCCATCTGCTGATTTCTGTGTTGCACACATGTGCATTGCAGGTTTTATTGAGTGAAGCTGGACAGGTAGGTACAGCCTCTACTAAGTGAACAGAGCTCAGTGTACAGGGTATCGGTGTCACAGAAAACAAATCGGACCCTTAACATTACTAATGCTACCAACAAATCCTGGAACACCGGGCAAATTGGGAAAAGATGATCTGGCAGAAGAAATGAGGGCGGGCAGGAAATACACAAGGGCAGGAAGTGAAGTATGTGAAATATGAGAGAAAATAGCACAAGTAGAGCTACACAGAGCTTTGGAGCCTCGCATTCAAACCTGTGTTAGACTGTGAGAAGCTTCCAGACTGTTTGAGATTCACTGACTTTCATCTTTTTATTGTGCTTCATTTTTTGAAAATTATGCCATAGTATGCGATTAACTGAAGAGCCGACTGTGTGTTGAAGCGACTCACAGATGACATCAAGCGCTCGTGAATCGCACTTGAATGTTTTCGTTGCTTTGGCAGGCTGTCCCATGTCAGCGTGGAGCGTTTGGTCTCAGTGTTCCTGTGCGTCCCAGAGGCAGCAGCGTTACCGTGTAGCGCTCTCTTCACCCACCAGGGGCCAACAGTGCACTCCTGTGGAAACGCAGAGCCGGGCATGCGGTCTCAGCCGCTGTGATGGTGAGTTCATTACCCTTAGAGCTGCTTAAGCTGCACTCTGGTCCTACACCTCTTCATGTGTTTTCCTGCTAGAAGTCTGCGAAGCCCCGTTTGTGTACTCGTCGTGTGGCGCTCCCTGTGAGAAGCAGTGTGAACTGCGTGGCCGTGAAGATCTGTGTCTGAGTGTCAGCGAGTGCACACCTGGCTGTTACTGTCCACAGGTGAGTTTTAATGAACGCTGCTGAGTTTAATTATGATTTTTGGACACTACCAGTAGGATACAGTAAGACGCACTTTGCCTTTGGAGGTTTTGCTTTGATTTCTGGTCATTAAGAACAAATATGATTAGCAAATAATGCAACACGTGTTAACAGCTGCGTTTTGTTGGTTTGGTTTTTGGATCTTAAGCTGCTTCAAACAGCACGTTTGCCTGAAGTATGAATTCTACATTGATGCATCTCAATGCACGTGATTTGAGCACAACACACGACAAATGTGCTGTACTTTATGACCAAGACACAGATCCGATCGCTGCGCTGTTTCTTCTTTCCTCTGAGATGTGTGTTTTTCCTTCCAGGACCTGCTGCAGTATAATGGGAGCTGTGTTCCTCCAGAGGAATGTGGCTGCATCCACTTGCAGCACCAAGCTCCAGGAGATCCACCCACGCCTGTCACCGTCCCACAGGGGGCCACGGTCACCATAGGCTGCAGTACCTGGTCAGTTGTCTCTATCAGCCCCTGTTGCTGATAGAGACATGAATGTTTTCTCACAGTGTTGTCGTCACTCTCTGCTCTTTCTTTGTGATTCCCAGCTTGTGTGTGCAGTTTGTCTTTTATGCTGCCTGGGCTGTGACAGGTTGTTATTATTGTCCGTTTTGTTGACTTCTCTGTCCTCCAGTCTTTGTCACGATGGGAGTTTGCAGTGCGACATGAGAGAATGTGAAGGTAAGAGAGCAGAGTAATAAAACGAGGTTCTCTGTAAACACGGTGAACCTGAATCTTTCTTTCTCTCCTTCTTTCAGTCGTCCTCAGCGAGTGGTCGGGCTGGACTCGGTGCTCTCCCTGCGTGCTGCAGCACAACAGCTCGCAGATGGTGTCGATCCAGAGGTGCTTTCGAGCCTGTTTGGACCTGGATTCTGGTCTTCCAGTCTCTAGAGAGGAGGAGAGCCAGTGTCCAGGACTGCTGGTAGAGGAGAGGCCATGTCCAGATGCTAACATCTGCAGAGGTAACAAAGATGCTCACACCAAGAGTTTGTTTCGTGTCAGAGGATTCAGTCGTCTTATTGGCCAGATGTCACTGAGGAGAGAGCAGCAAAAGTAAATGTTCTGTGTTATGTTAGCGATTTTACTGCTATCTGCAAACTCATACTGACCTTTGCAAGATTCTTTTAGGTCAAACTTGCACTGTGCACCTGGAAGTTGGGTCGGATTGAGGTTGGAGGACGTTCACACCATAAACAAACTGCACAAACTGCACCTCCTCCACAGGGTCTGGGTGTTTGTGGGCACCACAGTTGTGCTCTGTCTGAGACCCTCTCAGTAAAAGTTTGACACAGATTGCATGCAAACAGTGGGTGAATGAGTCAGGGCTCGACGAGCACGGCTCCAAAGAAAAAAATGAATTACACAGTCGGTCAGAGGGTGATGAAATGACTGCAGCGCGGTTTTCTCTGGAAAGGAAAGGGGGGTGATTGTGTTTTGAAATAAATGCGTGCACTTCAAAGCATATTCTTTTCATCTAAATAAAGACAGTTGGAGTCTCACACACAGCGAGGAATAAACGACTGCAGACACCGATAATGTCCAAGTCATAAACAGGCAAACCTTTAAACTGTTTCAGTGTATTAAATAAATGTATGTAGTTTTGGATCCAGTGACGAGAGCGATGTCATTCTGACATGTGGAGTCTCTGAGGGAAAATGTTTACTGTGTGTCAGTCACAGCTGCCATCAGCAGACAGTTAAGAGGCCTTAATCAGTGCAAAATGGGCTTTTCCTGCTATTCTGACTCACTTTATTCCCCAAAGGAGAAGAAAAGGACAGGTTAAATGCTCATGTGTGGTTAGCTTTGCTTTTATGTGCGTGCAAAGGATGATTCAGCTCAAATTTAACTCTGTCATCCATCCATTTTTTATACACGAATGGCTCTGAATGACTGCTGTCCCAGCTTAATTTGCATGTCAAACAACTGAAGCCTGGTTCTTGGTCATAGTGAGTAAATACTGCTCAGCAAGAACAAACTAAAATGTGTCTCTTACTTATAAATGATACAGCAAATAAACACATTGTGTTTGTCGCTCTGTCGTCATCATCTAAAACGAAACACTTAAAGTTTCTGTATTTGTCACTGTCAGTCTGTTAATGCGGATAATACCAAGGTTAGGTTAGTTATGATAGTCACTCTGCTCTCCTAGATGTGTGTCAGTGGAGTGGGTGGAGTGCTTGGACAGCGTGTGCTGAGCCGTGCAGCGGTGGAGTCAGGCAGCGCTACAGACAGCCCCTGGCCTCTCCTGCAGGACCCCAGTGTAGGAGCCAAGAGACCCAGACCCAAGGATGCAACACGGCCCTCTGCCCAGGTACATGTGAGCTTAAAAAGAGAGCAAAGCCAACAGGCAACATCAGTGGTGTAGTTCATAAGTTCAGTTCCAAAGATAACATTAGTTACACAATTTGTTGATATATATGTGAATGGAGATGACTGCAAAAGCCCCTAAAAATTAAGGCTGTTGGAAGTTTTGGTACACGCAGTGAAAATGTTTTCCTCGAAGGCTTCGAGGCTGAGCCGGACAGAGATGATCATGTTGTTTGTGTCAGCGTGGTTTGTTAGAAACACATTTGTGTGTTTTCACTTTGAACTAATGCAAAGTCATTAGTGTTTCTTTTCAGCAGCTGAAGGAACTTCTGCACATTCTTGGAAAGAAGTGAGAGGAAATCAGACGTACAAGTAAAACGTATATAAAACGACACACAGAGGAAAATGATCCGATTCAATGAATTTCTAACCAAACGTCTTTACAGCTTAAAAAGAAGAATTTTATAGGAAGTTCCATTAGTTCTGAAGCTGTTTGAAATAAAACAAATCAGGATGTACTAAAAGACTAAATCAGACTGAAGACAAAACTTTGTCCTTACGATTATCTGTCTGTCACAAAGCTACAGCTACAAGCCGCACGCATCACACCACCACCACCGTGCTGAACTCTGTTTCTACGTCAGGTCACATTTTGCAGCGCAGGCATGGTTTTCTTTGCTTTTTCAGGTGAGCGCTGTGAGGACAGGGATCGAGCCTCCCAGGACAGCTGTGCCAACAAGTGTCCTCGCAGCTGCACTGACCTATGGGAGCATGTGCAGTGTCTCCAAGGAGCCTGTCACCCGGGTAACCATGGATAACATCTTCCTAATATTAGACTTTCATTACGTGAAATTCATTGTTTCTCTGTGTTTCTTTACTTTTCCGTCTCTTTTTTTGGTTTTTGTCTCCTCAGGTTGTCGGTGTCCAGAAGGACAGCTGTTGCAAGATGGCCGCTGCGTGCCAGTGACAGAATGTCGTTGTGGTATCCCATCAGGCAACGGGACGCTGGAGTTCCTCCCTGAAGAGGAGTTTACTGTGGACTGTAACACCTGGTGAGAACTGCTTTCTGTGAGCTGAAGTATGGTCATAGTTGGGATTAATAAAGCAGTTTTTCAAATTTTTGTAGCGTTTAGTTCATAAACTTTGCTCCGTCTCACTTCTCGTAACGCCCCTCCGTGTGCAGTGTGTGTGAGCATGGCACGGTGGTGTGCTCCAAGCTTCCCTGTCCAGTTTATGAGCCCTGGAGTCCATGGAGCGCCTGCTCAGCTTCATGTGAGCGAGGCCGGAGAACCAGGACGCGCCGCTGCCAGGACACAGAGGGCGGCCCGCCCTGTGCCGAAGTCACGCAAACAGAAATCTGTGATCTGCCGTCGTGTCCAGGTCGGACATAGAAAAAATATCCAGCCAAGATCCTGAGATTTTACCTGCAAGTCTGGCGTCCCCTTACCTCCTTAATCTCTGCTTAACTCGCCGCCTCTCTTTGCAGCGGGTTGTTTGCTGAGTGAGTGGTCGGCCTGGAGCGAGTGCAGCGCCTCCTGTGACGGTGGGTTGTCATTGCGGAACAAGACGGTCCTCCGAGAGCCAGAGCCCGGTGGGACAGCCTGTGTCGGGCCACTTGAACAGCACGTTGTCTGTAACACCAACAGCTGCCTGCCCGGTAACACAAGCACACAACACTGCGCACTTTGTGTGTCTACTGAGAGATACCCCTTGAGTTCAAATGATGTGAAACTGTTGTCAGTCAGCTCATCAAAGTCCTAACGAGTGATGTTTACAGTTATATTAATCATAACAAACAAAGTGAATACGAAGTAAATATATCAGCGCACATGTCTGCACGCCGACCTGTTACAGGTGAGGTCATTTGCTTTATGTTCCTGCAGAGTGTCCCGGCACGCAGGTGTCCAGTGACTGTTCAGCTTCCTGTCCGTATACCTGCCAGGACTTGTGGCCACACACTCAGTGTTTACCTGGACCCTGCACGCCGGGGTGCACATGCCCTCCTGGACAGGTGTGTGTGTGTGTGTGTGTGTGTGTGTGTGTGTGTGTGTGGTTGGACAGCAGATGTGAGTCCTAACTGATTGTGTCATCGTGCCCTTTGCAGGTGTTGCACAGGGGCTCCTGTGTGGCTCACGCTGACTGTCCCTGTTCGCCGCTCTCTTTGCCGGCTGATTTTCAAAGCTGGAATGTCAGCTCCGAGTACTTCACGGAAGCTCTGCTGCCCCCGGGAGCGGCCATCCAGCACCTCTGCAATACATGGTGATCTGCTACTGTTGGTGTGGTCCAGTCATTCACTGAGTCGTGTTGTAGGCAGTTGAACCAACGGCTGTAAAACTGTAATATGTGGCTCTTACATTTCCGGGCTGGCTCTGGCTCAGGTTGTAGAGCAGGTCAGCTACTAATCAGAAGGTTGGTGGTTCAATAGCTGCTCAGGTATCCTTGGGCAAGATGTTGAATCCCCAGTTGCTCCTGATGTGTTCATTAGAGTAAGATTTTGTGTGAATTTTAGACAGAAAGCACTCAGACACAGTGAAAAGTGCACAAATGGGAGATTAAACGATGCAGAGTGCTCGAGTAGAGTAAAACAGCACTGTGGAAGAAGCAGTGCATCCACGCTGCGCAGTTTAAAAATGACTCGACCGATGATTTGATTTTTTTTCTAATGTTTCTAACAATATTCCAACCCAAAGAAATGTATGTTTTATTCATTGTTGTGTTTCATTTTGATCCAAGACATTTAATTGTAGCAATTAACGTTACATTTGCTACATTTTCTTCAGTATTTCTTCAGAATAAAGAGACACACCATAAATAAAGTCAGTTAAATGACTGGTACCTTGTTCATGAACATCATTTCTGCCCGAGTCAGGTCGATTTTATCCAACTGTCTATTTTTGCTTTAATTAAAAGAAAACGTTGGGTTACTTAACATAATCCCTGGTTCTTTGATAACAGAGTGAGGTGTTTCACTATGGGGAATCGCCTTGGCGTGACCAACTACGGAAGCTCCAATGACACCACGTCTGTCTATGACAGACCTGTCGAGTCGTGCACAGGGCTCCGCCCCCTCATTCTAACACGGCCGACCAGCTCCTCCTAACTCATTCCAAGCAGATTTCTTTCCGTGCCTAAGCAAGGAGGGAAGTGTTGGTGAAACACCTCACTCTGTTATCAAAGAACCAGGGATTACGTTAAGTAACCCAACGTTCTTTTTCTAACTTCGCTCGGTGTTTCACTATGGGAGATATGGCCCACTCCCGGATTGCGCCAGCTCCCGAAGCTACTCTCCAGTGCTACTCCAGGATCTCAGGTCGAACCTGAGGCACCAGAATCCAGCACCGTCTGAGCCAGGGATGACTGTGCAACATCCAGCCGATAAAACCGGACAAACGTGTGCGGCGTAGCCCAGCTTGCTGCCGCACAAATATCCTGGACTGATACACCTCTGAACAACGCCCAGGATGTGGCCACACCCCTAGTGGAGTGAGCTCGGAGTCCCGGGGGGGGCTGCAAGCCCTTACAGCTATAAGCCAGAGCTAAGGCCTCTACAATCCAATGAGCTAGCCTCTGGCGTGATACGGGCCAGCCCTTGTGAGGGGAGGCCCAGCTGATCCGACTTCCTGAATCCAGCTGTTCTGTCAACATAAGTCCCCAAGGCCCGGACAGGGCACAAAGTGTTCAGCCTCTGCTCCCTCTCTGAAGAGAATGGAGGGGGGTGAAAAGCCAGGAGCTCTACTGTAGAGCACCTGTATGACATTTCCAGCACTTTAGGCTGGGTTAGGCCTCAGGAGTGCTTTAGTGAGTCCGGGGCCAGCTGTAGACAAGAGGGGTGAATAGACAGAGCCCGTAATTCACTAACTCGCTTGGCTGTGGTTAGAGCCAACAGCAGAGTGGTTTTAAGAGAGAGAAACTTCAACCCCACTGCCCCAATAGGCTCAAAGGGGTGGTGGGAGAGGGCGTCTAAAACGACTGACAGATCCTATAAAGGGACCAGTGGTCTAGAAACTGGGAGCGTTCGACGCACCCCTCTCATGAAGCGACATACAAGGGGGTGCTGCCCGGCAGGTTTATCACCAAACCCCACGTGGCAGGCTGAAATAGCTGCTAAATAAACCTTTATAATGGAAAAGGCTTTCCTTTTGTCCAGCAAGTCTTGAAGAAAACACAACAGCTCCACCACTGAACACTGAAAAGGGATAATCTGCTTTTCATGGCACCACTCTTCAAAAACACGCCATTTACTGCTGTAAATGGAACGAGTGGAGGAGACTCTGGCATTCTGAATGGTTTCAATAACCTTCGGAGGCATGCCTGCTGCCTTCAAATTCCACCTTTCACGGGCCAGGCCTAGAGAGCAACCTGGTCTGGATGGGGATGGTATATCTCCCCCTGCGCCTGAGACAGTAGGTCCCTGCGGATGGGGAGTGGCCATGGCTCGTCCACCAGAAGCTGGATGATTTCTGCTATCCAGTGTTTGGATGCCCACCGTGGAGCTATTAAAATCTGAGACAGCCCCTGATCCCTCACTCTGATCAGTGTTGGGGAGATCAGGCTGAGGGGAGGGAAAGCATACAGCAGAGTTTTTGGCCATGGATGGGCCAGCACATCCACGCCCAGTGGCGCGTGTGCGTCTGACAGGGAGAAAAACAGGGGGCACTGCGTGTTTTCTCGTGAGGCGAGGAGATCTACGGCAGCCCGGCCGTATCTCTGCCAAATCTGCTCCACCACCTGTGGGTGAAGCCTCCATTCTCCGAACAGTGGATTTCCTCTGGACAGGAGGTCCGCCCCCCTGTTTAGAATTCCTGGCACGTGAGTTGCCCGAAGGGAGAGGAGCCGAGTGCTGCTCCACATAATTATTTCCCTGGCTAACCTGTGTAGCTGCCGGGAACGGGTGCCGCCCTGGCGGTTGATATAAGCAACTACAGTGGAGTTGTCTGTTTTCACTAAAACATGTTGACCCCGGAGATATGCCGTAAGGCTAGGAGCACCGCGTGGAGCTCCAGCACATTTATGTGATTCAGAGCGAGCCTCTGTGACCAAACGCCATTCACTGCTCTGCCCATCATAGTCGCACCCCAACCTGACAGGGATGCATCTGTGGTCAGCGTCACCCTGGATGATACTGCCCCGAGAGGTACCGCCGCCGCGAGAGCTGTCGGGCTCCTCCAAGGACGGAGAGCCGCGATACACGGCTGCATTATTTTTACACCACGATTGAGATGTCGGCGAGGGCACAGCTGCAGAGAAGCGACCCACCGCTGAAAATCTCTCATCATAAGCAGCCCCAAATGTACCACCGATATCACCGAGGCCATGAGGCCGAGGAGGCGGAGACAGAGTCGGAACCGCACGACTTTCCCAGCTGAAAACGGGAAAGACAGTGAGTGAAGGATGCGATCCTCCGCTCTGAAAGTGCGATAAGAGATGGAGTCTATTCTGAGCCCCAGATACTCTGTAAACTGTGCGGGTTCCAAGTGGCTCCTTTCCAGGTTGATTGTGAACCCAAGCTCCGTGAGGTGATTCACCACCACCTCGGAGTCTTTGATCGCCTGCTCTCGCGATCGTGAGCATATTAGATAATCGTCTATGTAAGAGAATATTCTGATGCCGCTGTTCCTTAACGGAGACAGCGCTGCCTCCACACGTTTGCTAAACACCCTTGGAGCTAAGGATAGCCCGAATGGGATAGTTTGAAACTCGTACGCTACGCTCTGATAAGCGAACGTGAGATATTTCCTGTGTGGAGGATAAATGGCGATGTGAAAATATGCGTCTGATAGGTCGATTGTAACAAACCAATCGCCTGTGTGAATTGAGCGACAAAGCGTCTTGTGTGTGAGCATTCTGAACGTGTACTTTCTCAAATGCTTGTTTAACACACGCAGATCCAGAATAGGACGGAGCGACGTTCCGTCCTTTTTCGGGATGAGGAAATAGCGGGAGTAAAAGCCCTGCTGAGCTTCTTCGCTCGGAACCGCTCCGACCGCCTGTTTGTGTAACAGGGAGGATATTTCCTCCTCCAGCACATTCGCTGAATCGCGACTGGCCACAGAAGCTAACACTCCACCGAATCTCGGGGGTTTTGCCGCAAACTGTAGTCTGTAACCATGGGAAATGGTTGACAAGACCCAGGGATGAACTGCGCATGCACGCCACCGCTCCAGCCGCGCTGCGAGCGGGCCTCTGAAGACGCGGTAGCGTGACGTCACCCCTGTCTCCCGGAAGGAGTTGGGGCTCTCCCCCTCGGGAAGAGCGTGAGCTCCCCCTGCTGGGAACAAAGAAAAATTGCAGTGATTTTCTTTTGTTTTTATTTTGAAACTGGGGGGACATGCCCTTGGCAAACTGCCTGGCTGCAGAAATGCACGTTTTATTTCTTTTGTTACCCCCAAACCACAGTGAAGTGTCTGGTGACTCTGGGCAGTGCTTGGTGACACAGACAGAGTGCTTAGAAGTGTTTTGTCACACTGCTCCATATGTCCACAAGTCTGTCCTCCCTGAACTGGAGGAGGAGACTGAGAGGGTGCTCCTGGTGAACTGGAAACTTCCGGAGACCCTGAACTTTGGAGTGATTTGGTTACCCCTTCTAACACCTTCCTTCTCTTTGGGGAAGAAAATAGGGGTGACACAGAATGCTGCAGGTGTGCTAGGCTGACCGCTTCTTTTTCCCCTCTCTGGGGTCTGACGGCTTGTTCTTTGCAGCACCTGCTGCAAAGGAATGCTTGCCCCAAGGTCTTTGGTTCTCTACCTTGGCCTGGTGGGCACCCTGCTGGCCTCCTACTCCTCTCTGCATTCTGACCCCACTCTGTCTCCCTCTCACAGCTGCTGCTGTTGCTGCAAAGCCAGCTCTTGGCACCTGCTGGGGCTGAGAGTTAGGTTTTCTGGGTAAGCAGAGGTTGAATGCTTCTCCCTCCTGCTTTCTGCGGGTGCTTGTTTCTCTCATTCTCTCCAGGGCTGGGCCAAAGAGACCCTTGGTTGGGTCATATGCTGCATCCATGACCTCAGCCTTCTGAGCATCACCTAGGCCTGACAGGTTTAGCCACAAGGCTCTCTCACCCGAGACTGCAAGGCCCATAACGCGGCCACACCCTTGGACTGCTCCCCTGGAGGAGCGAAGAATGAGATCATTAACCACGCAGATTTCATCCCAGAGGGCTGGGTTCGGGGAACCTGAGTCAAGCTGATGGCCCATGTCTTCCAGAATTTCTGCCTGATATGCTGATAGCAGTGTGACTGCATTAAGCGAGCATACTGACTGTGCAGCATATTTGTACGTCCTTTGATAAATAGATGCCGTGAGGTGATCTGTCTTGTTGGGCAAAGAAATGCTAGAAGAAGCTGAGATTGCCCTGCGGTTAGGGTGAAGGTGATACGCCACTGAAGGCTCCACTGCTGGGGGTTCGGTCAGCCCCAGTTCACCCATCCCCTGGATCTCAAGCTTAGAGCAGCCCTTGGTCGGAAGCTTGCTTTTAAAAGGGCTTGACCAATAGCGACTCATTTCTTTCATGCAGGCCGGGACTGCTGGCAGAAGCTGCTTCGATGGTGGCAAGGCTGGTGGGAGCCTCTTGCCGTCATACAGGTTGCATTCTGCCCCTTCGGCATCCTGGGCGGCTGGCCATGGGATGCCTAGCTTGGCAGCAGCCCATTTGCAGACCTCGTACAAATTGCTGTCCACCAGGGGTGCAACTTCAGCCCCACTCGGTGGCCTGGACTGCTGGGGAGGAAAGGTAGAGTCATCCTCCTGTTCCTCATCCATGTCCTCCAGGTCGAGGAGGTCGGAGTCGACATCGCCCTCCGCGTCTTCGCCACCCGGCTCGCCCACGTTTTGATCGAGGAGGTCCTCGAACGATGGGGGCATGAGCGGGGACTCTTCTTCCATCATGTCCGCCCAGCTTGTGGAGGCTCGCGGATGACGGATATCGCTCGTAGCAGTAGCCGCCGACAGGCAGGGGTCCTGACTGTTCGTTACTGCTACTCTCAGCCTCCTTTCCAGGACTTTCTCTGGCATCAAAGCACAGTGTGGGCATCCCTGAGGGTCCGCCAGTGAAGCCTGAGCATGCTTGGCACCCATACAGACGATGCACATTGGATGAGGGTCCCTGCCTGAGATGGTGGCACCGCATGATGCGGGGCACGGGCGGGATGCAGCCTCTTTCGCCGTAGACTTGGTTAGCGGAAAGGGGTGAGACTAGGCTACACCAGGCTCGTCTCGACACGTTAGCCCGTAAGTAGCTAGGACTGGCAGCGGGTGTTAAATCCGATCTAGCCGCGGCGGGAGTCAGCTCGTCGTGACAAGTTAGCTGCACTCCGCTAGTCAATATCGTTAGCGACTTAATGCTAACCGAACCCTAGGTCGACCAACAAGCTAATGCTAGTGAGACGCTAATGTGGTTCGTGGCCTGCTAACACGTCAATGCTAGCCGGACACTGAACGAACAGCTCGCCGTAACGCGTTAGCCCGAGTCACACAACGTCGGCTACCTCGCTAACTAAAACCAGGAACCGCTGGGACAGCTCGCCTGACGCGGTTGCTGTTCCACAGTGCAACTCTAAGTACGCTTCTTTCGAAGGACTTACTCAGCACGATCCAAACGGCCACCGGAAAAACTGCGTTCGGCGACGTACTCCTACACGGGACGCCTGAGAACTGTTAAGCAGCTAATCAAGTTAGTTAGTAGTTAGTAGTTTCTCACGGGAAGAAAGCGAGAATGAGTTAGGAGGAGCTGGTCGGCCGTGTTAGTATGAGGGGGCGGAGCCCTGAGCACGACTCGACAGGTCTGTCATAGACAGACGTGGTGTCATTGGAGCTTCCGTAGTTGGTCACGCCGAGGCGATTCCCCATAGTGAAACACCGAGCGAAGTTAGAAAAAGAACAGAGGCTGTAGTAGCAGCTTTCATCTTCCTCTGTGCTTTGCCACAAGGTCCTGTATTGTACCGCTTTTTAATAAGTTAATGTTAAGCTTCTTATGTGTTCCAGCTCTAAACTGCTGTGGATGTGTAATTATATTAAAAAGGATGAAATAGAAGATTATATGTATAATTCGTACCCTCACAGTGGTCTGGTAGGCAACTGTGTGTGGCTGGTTCAGCCTCGTGTTCACTTCGACTTTTCTTTCATCTAATTTTACTCACTTGACTTTTTTACGCTCCTTCCAGCTTGTGCCAAGGTGGGATGTTCAACTGCACCTCAGAGCCCTGTGAGGGTGAGTGATGCTTCGTCACAGCTGCATTTCCTGAACCTTATAGGGCCTCTCTCTCTTTCAGCAATGAAAGCAACGGTCAGCAACAATAATCTTCGATTGAACTGGCAGGGTCATGATAAAAATGTCAACCTATCTATAGTTGGGACAGCTGCTGCTGCAACAGTTGGCTCAAATAACTGAGCTACAGTCTCGTCAATCAGAGTCCACACAGGCCATTACTGGGATTTTGTGTCATAAACGTACAATTTCATGATGTGAGCTTTGGTTTTGCTTCCAGAGCAGATCACAGTTTGAACTTGGCTTGTTTCTCCATCTCACCGTATCATTAATCCTAATGTGGAATAAAAGAGGATCTCATTTCAATCACAGTACTGCACATTTTAGTTGCAGTTTCTTCTCACACATCTGTCCAGACATTACTTTACTGGCCCTTGCGATACTTTCTTAAACTAGAGGTTAGAGAAGTATCTGTGAATATCTTCTTAGACAACAGTTGTGCTGTTGGTTGTAGGGAGTTCCTTTTTCACCATAGGTGTTATTTTGCTACATATAGAATATTGATCATGATAACAGCTTCACGCACAACTTCAGTTTGGGTGTTTAGGAAAACCAAAGTCTGGCAAGAACTGTGAGAAAAATGAGCACTAATGTTTGTAGGAGTGCTGTCGCACTTTATTAACAGTAATAAGAATATGTTGCCTGATTGGGCCCATGAAGAGCAAAAAGAAGCAGCTCATGTGATTGTTGGCCAACAAGTGCATGGAAAAATCATTACAAAAAGTATAATGTTATACTGTGAATAGAATATTACAGCTGTAATTTATCGGCTTGTAGAAAGTCAAACAGGACTCATCAACATTCTGAGGAAACCAGGTCAAGCTAGCACAGAAAGGTTTTACCGCACATGTCACATCAGTGCATGAAATACAAATGTCTGAAAGGTGCCGTACATTTGATTCAAAATTAGTAAGTTAGGCAGAAAGCAGCTTAGTGTTTTATGTTGTTTTCAGAGGTTTTGGCAGCGCTGCAGGAGAGGAGGTGGTGAGTGAAATGCTATCACGACCAATAAACAAATTTGAAAGTATGTAAGAATCAAACCCACCAGTACCCACCTACTGGACCTTTGGACACTTTTAAAAGCAAGAAATGAAACAGGTCTGTGCTGCTTTTCCCTCCCTACCAAACCACGATGAAGCATAAAGGAAACATAGGACACAACCTGATTGGGCGTTGTACTGTGTTGCTTAGTTCAGCATCACTTCCTGTCAGGTGCAGCTGTTGACAAATGGCTCCGTCAGCAGAAACTTTGATGTTTCCAGCAAATATTTCACTGTTTTATGCATTTTGGAAACGCAATAAAAACAAACAAATCTATGATGAAGTTCATTCAGATGAACTTTTATTTCAGTCTAAAAGATTTTAAATGCTTTTACTGACCTAATAGAACGTTTCCTGTAAATATGCACACACTTAGACTCTGATGGTTACAGCAGACGCAACAAAAGCTGTGAAGGAGACATTTTACTATTATTTCTTTATCTTTTCATTAGTCTTTTATCCTTTATCTTCTTTCTCTCAACCCACCGGTCACAGCAGATGGCCCCGCCCCTCCCCGACCCTGGGTGTGCCGGAGGTTTCTTCCTGTTAAAAGGGAGTTTTTCCTTCCCACTGTCACCAAAGTGCTGCTCATAGGGGGTCATATGATTGTTGGGTTTTCTCTGTATGTATGATTGTAGGGTCACCTTACAGTATAAAGCTCCTGGAGGCGACTGCTGTTGAGGCTACTAGTTGTTGTGGTTGTGGACATTTAGTCTGCAGTTACCGTTGTCTGAGTGCCCTCTCCATGATCACGTCCTCAGGAAATGTTTATAATTTCCTGGGTACATTGAAGTGGTCAGGTGACAGTTTCCTCCTGTTTCCTGCTGCAGATAAATGTACATTAAAACCAGTGCTAAGACTGAATGTCCCACCCTCTTATGTCCTTCTAGTGGACTGCCAGTGGTCCACATGGTCCCAGTGGAGTCCTTGTTCAGCCAGCTGTGGTGCAGGACAGCAGAGCTCCATCAGATTTGTTCTGGAGCCCAACCAGTATGGAGGGGCTCCGTGTGAAGGCCCTAACCTCCGCACAACAACCTGCATCGCCCTGACTGTGGTGAGTGAGAGGAAGGGAGACAGTTGATCTTTTACTGATGATGCATGATCGAGTAAACTCGTCATTATCACTGCATCCTTTAAACACTTACCCCTCTTTGGATCCCATTGTTCCTTTCTCCTTCCTGATTCATCATTAAATGCTTTCCACTCCACCCTATCATCTTCCCATCGTCTCATCCATCTTCTCTCCTCCAGCGTGTCCTGATGGGGAGCAGTGGAGGAGGATGACATCAGAGGGGATCCTGCTGTGTGAGAGGAGCTGCCAGGACATTTATTCCTCCTCTCCTGTCAACTGCAGCCACTCTGCTGAAGGCTGCGTGTGTCAGGAGGGGCTTTACCGAACCCAGAGGGCGCGTGCGTCATCCCTGCCCTCTGCCCTTGCCATGACCGGGGCGTCCTGCGGGAGGTACGTCGGCGCGTGCGCACGAAAAGGAAAGTGACATCTGCTGCCCAGCAAACTTGGCATCTTGTAGCCATTGTTCCCGCCTCCGTACCGTTGGTGTAGTGTTTACATGCCATCCCATTCAATCCCATTGTGTTATTTACTCATAAAGAAGGGCCTATTAGAAGATGAGTGACAAGCTTAACAGGACACATTAAGCACTGTGCCCTTCAGCCTCAGCCCTCATCAATTATGTAGGAAGTGCTGTTAAAGCCAGCGCTCGGACGGCAACTGGGCAAGCCTGCCAGGAATTATTTATGAAGGAGTGGGTATTAGAGGATTATAACAATTAATCTTACCCTGACAAGAGGTCAGGGCTGCTCTTCTTTCTTTCTGAGGTCTTTCTCTTTCATTTTCTCTGTCTCGCCTTCTCCTCACACAGTTTTTCATTTTCTCCCGTCTCGTTCCGTCTGCCTGCCTACTCTGTCTCTCTCTTTCTGTCAGCTACTTGAGTCATGTCCATATAAAGACCCTCTGTGGTTTTCTAATCAGCCACCCCATGACTCTACCAAATGGCTCCGTGTGAGCTGCAAAGCCACTTTATTCCTATATGCAACACATACACGTGAGGCATGTCTGTATAATGCACTGTTATAATTATAGCATCGCTGTGTGCCACAATCAGCTCAAATCCACAACAGTTTGGGTGGATTCGCTGAAGAAATTGCTCCAGTTGCACTTTCATCAAACCTGCACTCATGCCAGTGTGCATGCAGGGTAATGGGCTGTTGAGGCATCAACCCAATTACAGCGTCTGGTGTATAAATATGGATATTGCGTGTGTGTGTGTGTGAGCCAGGCTGGATCAGAGTGGGAGGAGGACTGTCTGTCATGCAGCTGTGTGAACGGGAGGAAACTGTGCCGGCTGAGGTGCCCTCCACTGTACTGTGATGAGGTGAGACACTGACACTTACACTCTGAAACAACATGGGTTTGATGATTCACTTTACTTTATGCACACACAGATACAGACTGTTTAATCAGAGATGTCAGGGGATGCTGATGTGGTCAGTTAAGTAGCATAAATTAACAACAGCTGCATTAGAAAAGCAACAGTGAGATTGCCCCAAACAGGAGGCTTTGCAGGTGGAGGCCACTCACATGTTTTACCTTCTTTTTTTTCTGACTGTTTTTTCACTAGTTTTGTGCTCAGCTAGGGTCAGTGTCACTGCTGGTAGCATGAGGGAAACCTGGACCCTACAGAGGTTGCACAGGTAGTCCAACTCAACCAGGGTTAACCCATCAGCAGGAATCTGCTCATGTAAAGAGGAACATGATGAGCAGCCAGAGCTACAAAGTGACCTCCAGCAGGTCACCGTCTCTGACCATACAATTAAAAACAGACTTCATGAGGGTGACCTGACTTCACAGGCCACATGAAAGGGTCTGGAGAAGCTGCCTGTAACTGGACGTTAGTTTGGAGCGGAGGCATATTGCTGGAGGGGCACACAGAGCTCCACAGGCTAGGCAACAGTACTCTGATTGACATTATGGACCCATTACCTAGATAGCAAACTTGGTACGGCCCTGATCAGGCCCACACAGTGTGCTTACACATGGGCCACATACTGCAAAGAATGACGGCCCTTTGGTGGCCCAGATCAGGTTGGCCAGATGTGGCCCACACATGGGCCAGCACAAGGCCAGTTGCAGACACACTGCTGGCCCAGAACCGTCTCAGCTCTGGCCCCAGATGTCAGCCTAATGTGTACCTTAATCAAGCCATGTAATAACAACATGTGCTGGAACATAATAGTGCAAAAGTAACATGACGAAACTCTGTTCAGACAGTGAATGCACTGATTCATATATAGCGCTTTTCTACTCTTGCGGATTACTCAAAGTGCTCTCTACAACAAGCCACATTCACCCAAGCAGTATAGTATTGCAACATGGCATTTGGGTCTTCTAACTAAAATAGGAAAATAGGAACATAAACAGTGCCATTTCCACCAGGCCTGGCCCACATCTGGATGACATACCACTTACCATGCCAGAAGTCAGCCAGCAGTGTCGGCTTGACACCAGATTCGTGTCGGACCTGTCTGCTATGTGGGAATGACACCCTACGCCAGTGCAGTGGATCCTGGGTTCTTCCTGGTGGTCCTGGTGAGATGTATGGGGGCATTTCCTAAAACATGAAGCAATTGATACCCTTGACTGGCCGCATGCTTACCTGACCCTCACTCCAGTAGGACACCTCAGACTGAGCTCGTGGCCTGGTCCAGATCTGCGAGGATATCTCCTAAGCGTTGTCAGGTGTTGTCAGGCATGCATGTAAGCTTGTGTGGGCCATAGAAACTACAGAGCACCATTTTCTGTTATGTCAATGAAATTTCATTAAAGTTCATATTCAGGGTTTTTGTAATGTAGCCCTCTGTAGACTGATACTCATCAATTCCCACAAATGCGTGAAATCTTTGCATTTCTAACAGATTAGCGGGTTCATGTCAGTGCTGACGTCCAGCTTTTCGAGTTTGATGTGTCTTAAAGTTTTGAAGGTGTTCTAAGGTGTTTGACAGAAACATTGGTCCCCAGAAATAACATGCACATGAGGAGGAACCATTTTCTACACAGTAGCTGCTGACAACCTAAAACGTGCATTTGCAGTCCCGGTGCAAACACTGCTAATCTGAGAGGAAGATTGACGTACAGAGGCATAATTAGTCTCTCAGACGAACACATCAGTGCAGTCAACTGCCACAGCTACCCGGGGTGCTACAATTCACCTAACATCTCTGGAGGTTGCAAACATCTAAATTAGTCTGAATGAGGCACAAAATGCTCTGCCGCTGAAGAATGTGTGGGATGTTGGCTGAAACAGATCAATACCTGACTCTCCAGTCCTCCCACGAGCCTGCCCTTTTGTCTTCACCATAGCCTTCTACCTCCAGTGAGACACTGGCTACTTATTTAAGTGTAATATAGTTTTGTTGATTTGTACTCTGTGTCTTCACTAACTAGCTGAACCAGATTAGCTCTAATCTTGTATAAATGGAAGACCAAAAGTTTTCAGCTTCTTGATTATTTAGTTTCAGATTATTTCAGGTTAATATTGTCTTATATTAGATGATGAAAAGAATTGATTGATACATTGAAGGACTTAAAATTTCTGGCAATTGTAATGGACAAATGATTTAGAGTTGTTAATCCTGTTTGAGGTTGTTTGGTTTTTAGGGTGGGTGGGTTATGCACTCTGATGGTGATAGGTCAGAGCACATATGGGAATATGGGAAAAACAATCTCAGGCAGGAAAAAGGAGTCGATGAAATGTGCTAGTCCCTGCATACAGGTGTGCAGAGCTACCTCATCTTTAGCAGTTTATTATACGCGTTTGATGTCCTGTTTCTGACTTCATGTAAACTGGAGTTTAGATTACACTTTGGATAACTTAATAACATTATGCATCAAACAGATTTCCGCTGCTTTAGGTAACTGTATGGCTGTGCTGCTAATGGTCTGACTCCCAGTGTTAGTCACACACAGCATTCATGCTGTACACCCCAGAGCAGATGAATTATATAAAATTGTATCAAATATTAATTCATGTTTGTATTCCTGAGGCAGGTGGAACTTTTGGTATCACGTGGAGGTGGATTCAGTGCCTCCCTGTAACATTGGTCTGTGGAGGCATCGCATCACGTTCTTTTTCTTGTAAACTTAATTTTCATTGTTTCTTCTCGCTAATTTTCACCCTTCTTCTTATTTAGTTCATTCTTGTCAGCGTGTTTGTGTCATTGTAAAAATGTGAACGTGTCCAGAAGCCCCCACGCTGGTCGTGTCTGCCGGGATGAATTAGAGAGCACAAAGGAAAAGATAAAAGTAGGGAAAATAATATATGGAATTCTGCATGATAATAAAAATATCCCTTAGTGAAGAAAAGAAGTCAGGCTTTGTGCAAAGTGCAGATAAAGACACAGCAGCAAAACGGTCCAAGCAGACGGTCTCTTACATCTTGTGGAAGGATTTCTGTTCCAACGCAGCCGGAGAAGGTGTCAGCTTCTAAAACTGCAGGGCGAGAGACATTTCCGGTTCAGTAATATTACTTTTGTCGTCACCATAACTGCTTCTGACCTGATTGGATTGATGAGTCATTATCCTATCAGGGAATGACCGAACATTCCCAAATTACAACCTGCCTGAGTTCTGTATTGTTCAGAAAGCTGAAAGTATGATGGTGCTCCTTCAATAACGCCACATCTGTCACACATCAAAGCAAGAAAAGAACTGAACATCACACGTTTCTACCTCTCTCTGTTTAAAGTGTTTTTTCCCACTGCTTTTCATTCCTGAGGTTTATGGGTGGTGTTCTGCCAACTGCTGCTCTTCATTGCACACCTCAGTCTGCCTCAGTCTACACACCTACTAACTACTAAGACAGTTTGGCATCTTCGCATAGATAGGTTTTTGTGTTAACTTGCATAACATTGTGCTAACATTTGCTAACTCTAAAAGCAACCATGGAAAGTGTCGTTAGTTTTGCAGAAGTTTATTCGAAATTATAAACAAATATAATGTGGTCATAAAGTGTGGGTGTGTGGCAGACTGTAGACTCAGACAGCACTAAACTCAAAGTCTCAGCTTTATTAACACTGATAAAAGCAAACAGTGGCTGGGAACTGACAAAGGTGACTGATGGGGATATTAAGGGACACGGAGACACATGGACACACAGCTCAACAAAATCATAACTAACCAGACAGAGGAAGCAAAACTGAACATGTCACATGAGACTGGAGACTATCAAAATAAAACAGGAAGTGACACTGAGACTTAGACATGTGAACTTGACACTGCAACTGGGGATAAATGGACGAAGAGACGGATGAAACATGAGATGATGAACATGAGAGCAGGAAGGACGAAGGCACAGGGACAGGACTACAAAGGTAATCACAGAGAATGAATACAGAGACACTGAGACAGACATGGGGACACGACTGGGGAGGTAAACAAACACAGATGCTGATGACAGGACACTGAGACAGACTGGACACGAAGGGGAACAAACATAAACAACCGCAAATCAAGATACCAACTCAGGTGCACCAGAGAACATCCACGCATCCATCCATCCATTCATCCATCCATCCATTCATCCATCCATCCATCCATCCATCCATTCATCCATCCATCCATCCATCCATCCATTCATCCATCTATCCATCCATGCATCCATCCATTCATCCATCCATCCATCCATGCATCCATCCATCCATCCATCCATCCATCCATCATCCATCCATCCATCCATCCATCTATCCATCCATCCAGGGCCGGCCCGTGGCATAGGCCGTATAGGCAAATGCTAAGGGCGCCGTCCATCAGGGGGTGCCACGCCAGTGCCACAAATGTTGAAAAAAAAAAAAATTGGTACTATTACTTCTAAATACAAAGAATAATCCCACGTTAATTAAAATGCAAAGTAAAGCTTATTTAATAGAAATATTATTTGTTAGAACATTACGCCCCCCCCCGCACGGTGCGCCCCTCCCTTCCCGTATCATGTTCCTTTTGGACGTCACCACATCAAAAATCAACACAAGATGTCAAAACGGCCAAAACTGTCAGGTGCCCAGGGAAGAAAAAAGAGAAAAGAAGAGGAGGAGAAACGAGAAAAAGACAGAGGTAGGTAACGTTAGCCTACATGAAATTGTCTGAATGTGATAGTAACCTAAATTTTTAGCATTAAGCTAATGTTACATGATTCGCTAATTGCTAATCAATAAATAGCTAGTTAACTGTTTTAACGTCAGTTAATATTGTGGAGGGGCTAAATTGTTATGGAAAATAATAATGTAACGTTAGGTAATTACAGTACTCCCACCTTTCCCACCATTCCTCATTTGTATTCATCTTTTAAGCAGGTGTTTTTTGTTTACATTGTTATTGCCTTCTGGTTAGCTAACGTTTACCCTGCAGGTAATAGTCACTTTTCCACCCTGTATATATTATAGTTGTAAGCCTAGTTGTTAAAGTGCACATCATTAATGTTAATTAAGCAATATCACATGAGAGGGAATGCTGTTTTTTAATATGAGCACTGCTGTGATTCGGTCAAAGATAATCATAACATAACATTCTCATATGATATTATACTGTTACTTTGCATTCTGCTATTCAGCATTTCACTGTAATGATGACATAAATGAATCTAATCTAATTTGCATATCAGTTAACATCATACATATATCTCTTTGGTTTTTCATTTATATTATATCATTTCATTTATTCCTGGAATCATATGTTATTCTATGTTTTTATTATTAGACTTTAATACTCAGTGGTGTCACATACTCCTCTCTTCAGATGCACTGTTGAAGTTTCTAAATCCACCCTGGGCCATCTACACATCTACCGCTGCTGCCTCCACTTCAGCAGCACAACCCACCAGTGATGCAGCATCAGCAGCACAACCAGCCATGATGCAGCAGCATCAAGCGGTCTTCCTGTTGCCTCCACTCAGCAGCACAACCCACCAGTTTGCAGCAGCATCAAGCGGTGTTATTGTATTTCATATATTCATTTTTATTTTTGTATTCATTTATTTATTCATATATTTTTTATCTTGTTAATTATTCTGATTGTGAATTTGCTTTCTTTAAGTAAAAAAAAGGTCAAAGACAAAGCTATTCGGTTTCTTGTGAGTACATACACTACACTGCCGATGTAGGGGGCACCACCTAAAATCTTGCCTAGGGCGCCAGATTGGTTAGGGCCGGGCCTGCATCCATCCATCCATCTTCTTCCGCTTATCTGGGGCCGGGTCGTGGGGGCAGCAGCCTAAGCAGAGAAGTCCACACCTCCCCTCCCCAGCCACCTCTTCCCGCTTGTTGGGGAACACCAAGGCGTTCCCAGGCCAGCCGAGAGATATAATCTCTCCAGCGTGTCCTGGGTCTGTCCCGGAGCCTCCTCCCGTAGGACATGCCTGGAAAACCTCACCCACGAGGCACCCAGGAGGCATCCTTGTCAGATGCCCAACTCACCTCAGCTGGCTCCTTTCAATGTGGAGGAGCAGCGGCTCTACTCTGAGCCCCTCCCGGATGGCTGAACTCCTCACCCGAGAATACAGAACTCATTTATGAATATTTCATAAATGTGAAAAAATGAGCAGAGAGTCCAAAGCCAACTCAAAATCAAAAATACTTAATAATAAAGGTTAATGTACAGTGTAGTAGCATATTATCAAACAGTATTGAAATAAGAGCGGAGCTACTGGACAGATCTCCATCCCAGTCCAGGCCAGTGTGTTTTTCACTGACCACCTGCAAACATGAAGATAATGATCGTAAAAGAAATTATCATAAGAGAAGATATTCTGTGTGTAATTTGGGCTGAACAGACACTTTAAATTGTCTCACCACTGTGGAGAAGTTCAGATGAGCTGCAGTAGGAAAGTTAGCTGTCTCATCCTTGACACACTGCGCTGAATTATATCTTTAGCACAGCAGCGCAGTGTAAAGGCCAGTGTAAAAATAAATTCAGCTGACAACCACAACCTGAAGAGAGAGGCTGATTGCACAGCAAGCTCCACAAAGTCCACGGTCCTCCCAGTGCTCCACCTGTGGTGCAGCAGTTCTTTAGTGTAGTGCACTCTGTCTCTGGAGGGGCTCGGTTGTGTAACTGCTGACCACGTGATGGCTCAGTGAAAGCGCTCCTTATCCAAAACAATATGGAAAGGTCGCTTAATGCCCTGCGTTCCCTCTGCTGGCAGGCTGACAGTGGGTGACTGTCGGTGTGCTTTGCTGTTTACGAGCTTACAGTTAAACATGTCACTGTTTAAAATTGAAATCTGCACGTGGCTCTGCTGGGAGCGCATCTATCTTTTTAAGGCAATGTATTGAGGGCTTTGTTATAATGTCAAAGCTGTTAGGATGCCTTCCTCTCAAACGCTGATCGTTTACACCAATTAAAGGCGCTACGATTCCCCCAACAGCCTGTAAACAACACGCTTTGATGCTCGGATCATTTTCCCTGAAATAAACAGGAATACCCATTCCTACCTGTTTCCATCCCCTGTGACACACACACGCACACACACAACTTACAATAGTCGTCTTCATGACCTCTCACCCTTTTAAGTGAGTAGGCTCCTTCATCCCTGGGGGAGCCCTGAGGGAAGGCTGGCAGCAGTGCCGAGTGGAAGGAACACTCCTTGAGGTGAACAGTCAAGAGGTGTGTGTGTGTGTGTGTGTGATGCTATAGATGGATCTGTGTGTGACTCTGCATGCTAACAGCAGCTATTCTCAGGCAGGGACATCACAGGACACCTTGCTTTTCTCTGTTCTGGGTTTCTCTTTACTCTGTGTCCTGTGTGTCCTTACGTCACAGTTTCTTTCATGTGCTATTTTTGGTCTTCATGTGTCATTTTCTTATTCCTGTCCCTTTTCCATTCTGCCTGCCTGGCTTTATGTCATTTTCTGCCTCCTCATCCGTCTCTCTGCATCACTCGTTTGGTAAAAAGACCCTCCCAGTGGGTTCATGTAATTACACCTTGAGTTTCATCTCTTCACAGTTTTTATGTAGGGCAGAACTATCTCTAGATAAACTGTAAAATGTTCCATGTGGTATATATGTTTATTTTTGTGACGTTAGACATTTAAACACGAGTCTACAAAGACAAACTCACTTTTGGAACCAGCCTCAAGTGGCCATGAAACTCTTGGTACTTGTTTGTCGTTTGAATTTCACTTTGTGCTGTGTGAGAACCACAGACTGCATACAAAGAACGGACACATTCAAACTCATGCCACTGGTTTCTGTGTTTTGAAGCCTGATGTTGGTTTGAGGGCCCAGTTATAGTAATGATGAGTTATTGGTGCTCGTGCTCAAAAACATTAATGAACGTTTTGAAAACACATCAGATCTCAATGGGGGGAAAAATCATGCTGGGTTTCTATACTGGTATGGAGTGGACAACTTATTAGGAACAACAGGGCATCACACTGGGTGATTGTTTGGCCCACACATATTTGCATGCATTCTCCGGGATGGTGTCCTGGGGGGTCTCCTCCCAGATCGGCACCAGACCATCACTGACGCACCACCAAACCGGTAGGTAGGTCGGGTGAAGGTCGAGAACCTTCACCAGACCCTTTCAGGACTGTTACATGTGCTCTGGGTGAAGCTACTCTCATGTTGCAGGAGTTACATTATCTCAGACTCAGACTTTGAATTAGTTGTTTCTCACATAATTCAATTAAGCTGGGCCTGCCCTTAACCTTAAACGGTTATTAGACAGCTATTATGAAAGCATTATGAATGTGAAGATACCAGAAGATGTAAATTAAGAGTCACCCTTCACTTTCATATGGGGTTGATGCTCAGTTAGCTTGTGCTAATGTTTTTCTGGATATGCACATGCATATGTGTACTCGCACTTTTGATGAAATGCCTGCTCTAACTTGCCAATGAAACACTCTTAGACATGACAAATATAAGCCGTCCATAAATGTTGCATGATTCTGTTTGCATGATTCTCTCAGGGGGAGGTGAAGGTGGAAGAACCAGGCAGCTGCTGCCCCGTGTGTAGAAAGCAGTTTCCAGGTTGGTACTGCATACACATGGCACAAAAACGCGTCCCAAATACCATCAGTCAACATTCTTGGACCTTACTCCCAAACTTCTGACCATCAGATTCCATAATATTAGTCATTTAAAACTATCAGCGGATCCACAGAGTAAGGCTTTCCCACGTATGATAATGCGAAACAAAAGGAGCGATTAAAACGCTGCTTTTTGCAAAACAATCTATTCCTGAGCAAGTCATTCGTTCCAGTATCATGGCTTCCAGACCACTTAAATGGATTTGAATGTTCTTCAGTTCAGTTTAGAGGAGGCTACAAGGGAAGTGCCTCAGCCCCCAATTAGTGGGAGATTACATTACTTAACCTACACTGGGGCTTTAATCTCTGTCCCAGTGGAGGAAATTTCACGGCAATGTCACCCTGCCTTCTGCAATGAGCTTTCTGCTCTGTCTCCTCCTTTTTGTCATTTTTTGCCGTTATTTCATGCAAATGCAAAGACAATATCGTCTATAAAGTATTGCTTCTGGTTTATTATATTCTCCCCTCCTTTGCTCTGTCCTAAGTGTATCTCTTTTCCTCTCTGCGTTTGCACAAGGTGAGCCTGTGCAAGAGTGTCATCGCTATGTGCAGGTCCGCAACATCACCAAGGGAGACTGTCGACTTGACAATGTGGAGGTCAGCTTCTGCAGGGGACGCTGCCTGTCCAGGACTGATGTCATCCTGGAGGTACAGCCACACACATGCACGCACACACGGGATGTTACTCTCTGAACACCTGCAGACAATTTTGAGAAGTAGTAACTGGTAGCATACTAAGACAAAAGGGACTAACACTCAAAAGGTCTTTTGTAAAAAGGCTTTTCGGTGATTTATTTTGCAAATTGTAAAACATGGCATGTGCACTCATTCGTGTTGAGTCATTATCATCAAGTCATCAAAGATGCCATTTTAAACCATTCTAAGTGAATGGAGTTTTCAGCCGGGCAGAGGTGACACCCAAACTTCACGGCGTCTTTAGTGTTTAGTCCTGGTGTCTCTCTCACTCTCCTGCAGACTTCCAAACTCTTTTTTCCCTTCTTGGTACAATATCTTCGCCGTCTTGTGACTTCTTTATATCCTCACACACAAATCTCACTGTTTTTCTGACACTGCTAGACTCCAAAGCCTCAGACATGGAGTTTCTACCACATTCAGCCCAATTGCCACCCGATTTGATTTCAGCAGGTTTGTTTCACTGACTCCTGAAACAGCTGAAACAGCTGAAACAGCTGAAACACCTCAAACAACTGAAACAGCCGAAACAGCTGAAAAAGCTGAAACAGCTGAAACACCTGAAACAGCTGAAACAGGTGAAACACCTGAAACAGGTGAAACACCTGAAACAGCTGAAACAGCTGAAACAGCTGAAACACCTGAAAAAGCTGAAACAGCTGAAACACCTGAAACACATGAACAGCTGAAACTCCTGAAACTCCTGAAACAGCTGAAACACCTGAAACAGCTGAAACAGCCGAAACAGCTGAAACACCTGAAAAAGCTGAAACAGCTGAAACACCTGAAACACATGAAACAGCTGAAACTCCTGAAACTCCTGAAACAGCTGAAACACCTGAAACAGCTGAAACAGCCGAAAAACCTGAAACACATGAAACTCCTGAAACACATGAAACAGCTGAAACACATGAAACAGCTGAAACACATGAAACAGCTGAAACACATGAAACTCCTGAAACAGCCGAAACACCTGAAACAGCTGAAACACCTGAAACTCCTGAAACAGCTGAAACAGCTGAAACAGCTGAAACAGCCGAAAAACCTGAAACAGCTGAAACAGCTGAAACACATGAAACAGCTGAAACACCTGAAACACATGAAACAGCTGAAACACCTGAAACACATGAAACAGCTGAAAGACCTGAAACAGCTGAAACAGCCGAAAAACCTGAAAAAGCTGAAACAGCTGAAACAGCTGAAACACATGAAACAGCTGAAACTCCTGAAACTCCTGAAACAGCTGAAACACCTGAAACAGCTGAAACAGCCGAAACAGCTGAAACACCTGAAAAAGCTGAAACAGCTGAAACACCTGAAACACATGAAACAGCTGAAACTCCTGAAACTCCTGAAACAGCTGAAACACCTGAAACAGCTGAAACAGCCGAAAAACCTGAAACACATGAAACTCCTGAAACACATGAAACAGCTGAAACACATGAAACAGCTGAAACACATGAAACAGCTGAAACACATGAAACTCCTGAAACAGCCGAAACACCTGAAACAGCTGAAACACCTGAAACTCCTGAAACAGCTGAAACAGCTGAAACAGCTGAAACAGCCGAAAAACCTGAAACAGCTGAAACAGCTGAAACACATGAAACAGCTGAAACACCTGAAACACATGAAACAGCTGAAACACCTGAAACACATGAAACAGCTGAAAGACCTGAAACAGCTGAAAGACCTGAAAGACCTGAAAGACCTGAAACACCTGAAACAGCTGAAACACATGAAACAGCTGAAACACCTGAAACACATGAAACAGCTGAAACACCTGAAACACCTGAAACACCTGAAACACCTGAAAAAGCTGAAACAGCTGAAAAAGCTGAAACAGCTGAAACAGCTGAAAGACCTGAAACAGCTGAAAGACCTGAAACACCTGAAACAGCTGAAACACATGAAACAGCTGAAACACCTGAAACACATGAAACAGCTGAAACAGCTGAAAGACCTGAAACACATGAAACAGCTGAAACACCTGAAACACCTGAAACACCTGAAAAGCTGAAAAAGCTGAAAAAGCTGAAAAAGCTGAAACAGCTGAAACAGCTGAAACACATGAAACACCTGAAACAGCCGAAACACATGAAACAGGTGAAACACCTGAAACACCTGAAACAGCCTCTGAACTTTACTTTCCTGACTGACAATATTTGTAAAGAGTGTTCTTATTCACCCTTCCTGTGCAGGATAACTAGTTTGCATGGGGTCAGCTAGCATCCACAGATAGTAGAGACTCTGAAATGTAGAGACTCTGAAATGTACTCAAAGTAAGAAAGTAAGAGTAGCTCTTTGGAGGACATTTCTATTTTTGTGCAAAATAAAAAACATAAATCTGTTTTCTGTTGCTACATTGCAGAGGGCGACTTTTCCTCTAAACAGGAAAATGTGCACAGTCAGGGGTTAAAGTGGATTCAGAAGGTGGGGGAAGATTTTCTTAGTGTACAGGCTGTGATCAGCTGACCTGCTGCTCTTTGTGCATTGTGCAACCCAATTCATTTATAATTGTATTAATATGCAAATTGCATTGACTATTGATCAACAACTACTGATCGAAGACTGTTTATAAGGTTGGGGAAACCTGCAGTCAGCTGAGAGAATCAGCCTTTTGGGATACAGTAACAAAGTATTTGTACTTCATTACTTCCCATGTTTTCATCAACCAGGGGAATCACCCCCTGGAGGCCATTACAAAGCATGAGGGTTTAAGGTTAATGGCTTTACTTTTAAGAGCAACCAGTTATTGCCATCTTTTATGTACAGTTTATGCATCTGCCCTTTAAGTCCCTTTAAATCCCAAAAACTATTAATAAAATCATGATTCAGGGTATCATCTTTAGCAAATGAGATCTTCTCATTTTCTATTTTGTTTTTTCTACTGATGCGAGAGAATTGTCTTTAATTATGGCATCCTGAGCTGAGCATTTGACATCTGTGCTTAAAGATAAACATACAGTTGATGACTTGAAGGCAGGCAAACAGAAATACAAGATATAATATGTGAAGTATCAGGGTGTAAATACAGTAGATGGATGTGTTGAATCTCGTGCAGGGGTAGAGGGATTCTATCTTTTCTTCTTCTTTGATTTTCATTCTTGGTTTTCTGTCTTTTTCATCCTTGTAAGACAGCAGGCTTATCACCTCATCACCATGGTGACTTTGTTCTTCCTTGGCATCTATGCGTCTCCACTGTAAAAATAGAGTCAGTCATGCTGGGAGATCAGTAAAAATAAACATCAGCTCGGCCAAATGTGTCATTACCTCCCGTTACTGTGGCAACCGGGGATGGTAACCGATGACTAGGCAACCCTGTGAAGTCCCCGTGTCATTGATTAGCACGACTGGAAGAAGCAGGAATTCATTACAGTGATCAAGTTTCCCATCACCGGCTGACTTATCGGACACACACACACACACACACACACACACACACACACACACACACACACACACACACACACACACACACACACACACTGTAGACTTTTCAAAGTGTGTGAGAAGTACTAATAACTATTTTTCAGAGGAACTTTTCTTACCTCCTTCCCCTTTTATGTATCATGCGTTGCTACCGTCCTCTGTACTTTTCCACAGTCTCCTTCAGGCTTTGTCTGCATTAATTGGATGCATGAACACAGCTTCCAAAGGCAACCTTCTTTCTCTGAGTTACAAACGAGGCTCGATTATTCTCAAATTTCAGGATTTTTGCATGTATCTTTGTTGACTCTGTTATTTGTTATCAGTTGAGTTTGTCATGTAAGCCACCTTAAAAAGACGTAAAGAAGTAAAACATATCTTTCTTGCTCTTGTTATTATTATTATACATTTCACGTTGCTTACAGTATTAAGCCATGTTATAACTACACTGGCTTGTTATGCAGAGATCAACCACGAGATAACAGTTTCTGTGTATCACAGACATCTTAGCATCGCTCAGCTCTTTCTTCATTCTGATTAGGCGATAATGAACACAGTGTATTAAATGACAGGGAGAGTAAGCACGGATCCAACGAAGAAACATTGTGGCGCATGTAGCAGCTGAATGAGATCTTCCTTTGGAACTGTTGGAGAACTAAAAATCTGACTTGTAATCAGTATTAATGCTCTTTTTAAAGCCCTCAGTCAGGAGTCCATGGACACCCTGTTTTACGTAAAGATCAGGGATCTGTCAAAGTCTGTTCTTCACAGCATGTGAAGGACGATAGATGTAGATGCTGAGGAGACTGGGAGAGGGTACAAAACCATCTGTAAAGACTTTGAACTCAACCCGTTCACAGTCAGACAGACTGTCTGCAAAGCAAGGAAATTAAAGAATGCTGTTAGCCTCCTCAACATGGTCGAGCACCACAGATCAGCCCAGCAGCAAACAGGGATGCAGGAGTTTACAAAATAAGAAGCTAAGCTTAGACCTGCCTCACAGTGTCAAATGTTCATGTTCGCGAATGCACGTGGCAGAGATACAAGCAGAAAAGCTGTGCTGCCCATCTGCTGTTTGCAGAGCACACAGATGAGGCAGAGGTCTCTGTGAATAATGCTCTGTGGAAATGTCTTAAAGAAAACCTTTGGTTTAGATGCTAAGAGTGATGTGTGGAGAAAAGAAACATGCATTACAGCACTGGAACCACATCCCATCAGTCACACACGGTCATGGTAGGGCCAAGATTTGGGCTTTTCATCGCCGTCACAACAGCTCACCTTTATTGATGGAGCGATGAGGACTGAATGACAGCAGCAAAGTCAAATGTTAGTGCGTCTGTCTGTGGGCTCACAGGAAGTGAAGCAGAAAGAAACTCACCTCAGCACACGGGTCATACGTTTAACTGGGTTTGCTTTTCTTTGCTACTCTTATTTATGCAGAAACATTTAAAGGCTTTAGTTCATTTTTTGTCCTTAATATGCTGTAGTTCTTACACTGTAATCTTCCATCACATAGAATAGAGGGAGGCATCTGCCCTTCCTTATCTGTCCTACTCTTTCCCCTCATTTAAACTTTCTTTTCTGATTGTTTCACTTTCTACTTCCTATTATTTCCCTGATCTCCTCATAAAACCGTCCCCTGCTCTGATTTCAGTTTGCCCTCATCGTATCCAAGTCACCCTCTTGGCTCTTATTTCTCTTTCTGCCCCCAACATTTAGTTACCCTCTCTCTTCTTTTTACTCTCTCCACGTAGGAGCCGTATCTCCAGTCGGTGTGTGAGTGCTGCAGCTACCGCCTGGACCCGAACACCCCGGTGCGCTTCCTCAGCCTGCAGTGTGAGAGTGGAGAGAGCGAGCCGGTTGTCCTGCCAGTCATACACAGCTGCGAGTGCACTAGCTGCCAAGGTGAGGCGTAATGGGGCTGATGGATTTGCATGTCCATTTCTCATATCAGTGTGAGATTTAAATATATGCAAAACTTTTCATACAGGCACGAGTGCACACCGGCCTCCTCAAGTCAGAGTTTCATCCAATCATCCAGGCTTATACACATCAGGACAGTCATGCAGTCATTTTCAGATGTCTCCTGTAAACACCACCAACCAGTGGAAGCAATCAAGATTTAATAAATGACAGACTTTCAGCTTTATTTCAAGAGATTTTTGAAAAATATTCCTTACATTTAAGATTTATTAAATTTCCCTTGTTGTTCATTCTTAAATGAAACTCTTTTACAGGCATGTAGTGCTTGAACCGTAAAGCCGATGGACTTTCTTCTTCACTGGATCCACTGTTAGTTGCTGTGTCTTTGTGGCTCTTTCTGCCCACTAAAGGCTGTTGTGGCCGTCCGAGAAAATGTCTTTACCTTCAGGAGCCGTTGCTTTGCTGTGTCTTTACTGCCAGGCTCTGTCCTACCAGTTTCACAGCCTTTGATTCGCTGTGAGCAGAAAGTAAAGCTGTCGATACTTCAGAATTCCTCCTGCTACTTCTACCAACACCTAGTCATGAATAAACACCCTTGACCCACTTCCACTGGCTGTGATAACACTCCACTGTGTTTGACAGACTCTTCTCTGCTACAAGTTCATATTCCTAAAAGAAACTTCCAGAACTTGGCAGGCTTTCTTCGATGTTTTCTAGGAAAGTCTTATCCGGTCTTTCTGTCCTCGGGCGTTATCAGCGTTTTGCGTCTGTACTTCATTCATGAAGTTGCGTCTTGACAGAACACTGTAGCAATGATGCATCTTCTTGGATAGATATTATGAAGGGAAGAATTTAGTTGTCTTTTGTGATCTTCCAGGAATTTGGGTGTTGCAGAGCTGACTGCTGCATTCCTGCTTTATAAAAATGTACCAAATGTTCCGATCTCTCTGATTAGACCTGGGTTGTTGCTTTCAGTGTAATGGTGAGCTCCCAAGCACAGCCACCAAATGCAAACTCAATCCTGGAAGCAGCTGCTGACCTTTCATCTACTTAATTTGCCATGATGTAATGAGGAAATAGGTTTAGGTTAGACCTATTGCTTATATACAGCCACGAGAGTCACTAACAGGTCTCTCTGCCTAATTTGTCACAGAGTGAGGAGAGATCAGGCCTCACTTGGAACTGCTTGGCAGTTAATTGTGCAATTACTTTTGAGCCTTTGAAAATATGGGAGCATGTATGAAGACGGCTGCAGCTCCTAAAAGGTTAAAGCAAGTTTTTCATATAAGTACATTTCTATTTATACAGTTCAAGATATCAACTTACAAAGAACAACTAATGAAGACACAGCTGGAGGGCCAGTAGCTCTGTCTCCTTTAGTTCTCAGCCTTGTGTGAAGCACACAACCTGATCGTTAGACCTCAGGAACCTGCAGGGGTGTTTGCATGGACACGTTTGCTGCTGCTCCAACAGTCACAACCAGAATCTTAAAGTGAGTGAGACACGAGTACTTTGCAGTTGCATTTTGAACACTTTGTTTGAAGGAGGTTATTTTGAGAAGAGATGAAATAAGCTTCTAATTCACAGCAGGACACAACAGAGCTCAGGTTGGCCTGGTGTCTTAAGTGAATAAAAGAGCAAGATCGAAACAGAGATTTAACCTGATCATCCAAAGTGAGTCAAAAGCTGCCCCAAGGTTCAGAAATATGGGGACCAGGAGTTCACAGAAATCTATCAGGGGTACAAAGGAGGACGTCTCTTTCCTCCTCATGAAGTTAAACAAGGTGGTCAGCCTTCCAGGTTTTAAAAGACCTGCAGCTTAAAACAACGCAGGGCTTAGAGGAGATCTATAACTGAATGTCATCTGCATAGCTGTGATGTCATATGTCCTTAAAAATGTGCCAAAAAGGAAAAGCTATTTTTAAAAAGATGCAGGTAATAAAATGTTGTTTCATCAGGTCGACTAATTTAACCAGGCCTGAGAAAGAAACAGGTAGAATATCAGGCTGAGCTGGGTCACTACGAGAAAACATCGTCCTCTCCGCTCTGACTTCATCCTGCAAAGAAACTTGAAATGAAAGCTATGAACTAGGATCTCATGACTGCCAGAGAATTGAGCATATAAATGACCAGCATGGTTGTCATGGCGATATGGCCTTTGCTATGGCATAAGGGTTGAGGAACGCCTTAAACGTATCACTCATCTTAGTGACACAATTCACGACAAATTTGTTGATCAGAGTCGAATAAGAACTAAATTTGAATGATTGAGTAGCGTGCTGGGCGGGGCGGGGGGGCGGGGTCTCCTCTGTGGCGGGAGAGTGGCTGCTGTGCCAATCAACTCCACCTGGCACTGCTATCTGAGCTCAGCTCCACCTCTCCCCCTACAGCTGAGCTAAAAGCACACCCGCTGCCACAGAGATGATTTCTGTCTGTAAATATTTATTGGACTCATTCGAACAGACTTGGATGAATCTAAACAGTCTGAAGTCTACAACCAAACTTACTGCATGTCAGAAACTAGCAGCAGTTACTGCTCCGTGCAAATAATTTACTTTGAATGCAACTAAGAGTTTCACGTTTGTCCTTGAGGAGTTCTTGTTCTGTAATCAAACTCAAGGCAGCTTTGAAAAGTAAAGACTGGGTGCCTGTGAAGATGTCACAGTTGAAGCAGCTCCCCTGCGTTTCTGGATCAGACTCGTCGTTAGGTGGAGCTTTAGGCTCATGGCGAGTTTGGGACACACCCTCTATCAGTGATGTCACTTTTGCTATCATCAGTGGTGTGGAAACCTGTTAACGTGGAGAGCAGGTGTTACCTCCATGAATGACATAACAGATTTTGTTACTTGGCACACCCACAGTGGAAACTTTAATAATCCTGTAGTTTGATCCTTGGTGTCTTAATGATCAGTGTCTTCAACAACAGTGACGTCCGTCTGTGGCTTCAGGTTATCAGCCGGGCTGCAGTTTCTCTGTGACGACCGTCTGTGTCCATTTGTCCTTTAGCCTCCTCTCAGCATCAGACTTGGTATCTAATATTAAAACAAGGCAGAAGGCTGCATCGGGACGATCGCTCTGAAAGCAGAACAGCTGTCAGTCGTCCATGTTTTCCTCTCCAGCTTACGGGGCAGGGGAGGTGATCTCGTGATTCAGTAGCTTGTAGAACACCTTCAGCAATAATACTTTGTTGTAATCATTTGCTGTTTGTTTATCAGCCTCTCACATCATTGGCCCACTGTTCCTTACATGCTTCAGCTCACTGAGCTTTGCAGGCATGCATTTATTTATAGAAACTTCTCCTGTGGTCCCGCTACAGCATTTCAATTAGGCTGAGGTCTGGACTGTGACTGGGCCGTTGCAGCGCCTCGATCCTGTTCTTTTTTAGCCGTTCTGTTGAACACTTGCAGCTGTGCTTGGGACCTTTGTCTTGTTGTAGGACCCAGTTTCAGTCACACTTCAGGTGTCAGGCTGATGGCTTCATGTTCTCTAGAATACTTTGGTATACAGAGGTGTTGCTGCTAGGCTGCTAGAAACCCAGGACCTATGGCTGTAACTCCAAATCATCGCTACACTTGGCAGCTGATTAGGGCTGTTTGTGCTGATATGCTGGTTTATGGTCAAACATCTCTGCTTTGGTGTTGTCTGTCCAAAGGACGTTGTTGTATTCCTTCATCTTATTTTTTCCTTCCAAAAAAAGTCGTACTTGTTCAGCCTTTTTTTATAATGTGGTGAATTTTAAAGCTGAGCATGCTAACTCTTGCCGGGATGAACTCTTGTGTTTGCTGCAGTTCCTCTGAGCATTGCACGCTGAGACCTTGGAGTGAATTTGCTGGGACGTCCACTTCTGGATAGTCTTTCACACTGTAGAATAAGACTTCAAACTGTTTGGAAATGGGCTTGAACCCTTCCCAGATTGATGGGCAGCAACAGTTGTTGATGTTTTCACCTGACTGTGCATTCGATCTCTTGGCTGCTTCTAACCCTCTTGAAGGCTTTAGAGAGGGTGGACTTTGTTTTTTGGCTCAGCTTTTGGTAAATAAATAATGAAACGGTGCAATGTGTTGTGTTTGGTAGTTCATCTGAGAGAGCATTTATACTTGTGTGTTAAATCTGTGGCGTAGAAAAATGTGTTTGTCTGTGGAAAAAACACAAAACAAACTATTATTTACATGAAAACACTTATTAGACGGGTCTGCTGTTATTTCTCTCTCACTGTGTGTGTGCACATTGTACATTTTAAGAAACCACCTCACTCTTGTTCAGTGAGGAGCATGCACTGCTGTGGAATGAAACAGAAACAGAGCCAAAGTGAAAGTGCTGCTCTAACCTTCTGTTTGCAGCAAGCAGCCAATCAGAAAGCAAAAGTCCAAGAATGAAAGTACAGGGCTGGAAATGGGAAGAACATATCCAATTCAAAGACTCAGCCTTCATGTCACAGTTGTTTTTATTACCACCAGGCTGAACCACAAGCGTGTGGTCACTGACACGAGCATTCCTGCAGATTTACACACACAAACATATGCTCACCTTTGCCCGTCATAAATGATTTAATGAAGGGTCCCACCTCTGAAGCAATTATGCTGTAATCCATTCATCAGCATGGCTGATCGCCTCAGTTAATTGGATGGAGCCACATACGACGTAGAACCCCACCCCCAGTGCTGCTCCTCCGTGGACATTACATCTGTTGGCTTTGGCCGTTGGTGCGATCAATCTTTGATAACACACACGCACAGACGCGCGCCTATGAATCCATATAACATCATTTCTACACATCTGCATCTACATTGCACCTGTTTTAATAGAGTTCAGTTTCATCAGGCTCATTTCAGAATTGAGCCAGAAGTCTTTGCACACACTGGGTCTCAATCTGTCATCCTGTACAGGAAGCAGTTGTCTGTTTGCTGAACGTGTTCAGTTCTTTGACGGAGTAGCGGTGAAGATGCGACACCGGCTCACTGTTTCCTTTCTCCGCAGGAGGCGATCTGTCCCGACGCTGAGCGAGTCTGTTGGACGTGTCTGCGAACGCACCGCAGAGAGAACAGTGTGAAGTCCAAAGCACCAAGGAGCACCTCGCTAAAAGCCAGCTGGGTGATAGATGGAGGATTCTGGGTGGACGGATGGATGAGTGGAAAAAGTCCCTGCTGATAAACACAGTGCTCTGTAGTGCTCAGTCACCAAATGACTGGATCTTACTGCTGATCGTATATTTCTTACATATTCTGCAGCCTGTACATTCTACTGTGTATTTATAGATTAAAGATCCTATGATACAAGTTCTACTGCATTAAAACATGTTTCTTGTGTATGTTTGTGTATGTATACGTAGCAGCTACTGAACTGAACAGCTACTAGTCTGGGTTATATTCCCATGTTTACAGTGCAGTGCTGACGGGCTGGTCAATAAATGGACAGCAGGTCAGCTGTCTGTCTTTGAGGAATCCTTTTCTGTTTTAAGCAGTGTTGCAGCAGCACATGCTTCGTTCCTTTGTGGGACGTGGAAAGCACCACGTTAATAAAAGTGCCATTAAAAGTTTATAAGATAAAAGATTATAAGATTGATTTATGATCAATTTCAGGGCTGAGATCACCGACAGATTTCCTTCATACATTCAAATTATGCTGATGTGCTTTTTATTCATAATAATAATAATAATAGTAGTAGTAGTTTAATACACTGAGAGTAATCACAATGTTCTAATCCAGAGAATTAAGCAGCTTTACTTGCACACTTCAGTAAACTTAACATCTAAAGGATGTAAGTACAATCGCAGAAGCTTCCAGATAAATATCTGCAGCAAACGAGCTGTGTACGCCACAAACATGCTGCTGTTCGTTTCCCTTTTCCTTCGGTTTGCATCAAAGAGCGTTGCTGTCCTGACAGCCTCCTGGCTGTAACGCAAGCTTTCGTTAGATTTAGCGTTCAAGTCCTTTTTAAAATAATGTGCTCATTTCCCCACAGATGAGCTCGTCTCCTGTGTCACCGGGTCTTTTATGGTATGGGGCGCCGTTTGTAAACTGAAACATGCCGAAATTAACAGCAACATTTTTCCACATTTAGCTCTAAATCTTACAAAAACATGTTTTTTCGAGTCATTTTTTACAACATTTAGTAAAATATTTGTAACTTTTCATATTTAAAACAGGATTTTAAATGTTAAATCTAAATGCTAAATGTTACATCTAAATGTTAAATGTTAAATCTAAATGCTAAATGTTAAATGTAAATATTATATTTAAATGTAAATGTTAAATGTTAAATGTAAATATTATATATAAATCTAAATGTTAAATGTTAAATGTAAATATTATATATAAATCTAAATGTTAAATGTTAAATCTAAATGCTAAATGTTACATCTAAATGTTAAATGTTAAATCTAAATGCTAAATGTTAAATCTAAATATTATATTTAAATGTAAATGTTAAATGTTAAATGTAAATATTATATATAAATCTAAATGTTAAATGTTAAATGTAAATATTATATATAAATCTAAATGTTAAATGTTAAATCTAAATGTTATATATAAATCTAAATGTTAAATGTTAAATCTAAATGTTATATATAAATCTAAATGTTAAATGTTAAATCTAAATGTTATATATAAATCTAAATGTTAAATGTTAAATCTAAATGTTATATATAAATCTAAATGTTAAATCTAAATGTTAAATGTTAAATGTTAAATCTAAATGTTACGGTAAACTAAATATTTAGCTAATATGCAAATTTATTGTACGGGTCAACGGAAATACCAAAATAAAAGCTTCAAGAAAACCTCCCGCGCTAAAGTGTGCCGGTCGTGGTCAGGTTCTGTGTTTGCTCTCCTCTCACGGTCACTTTTGACTGCCATGAGCTGCTTCAACTATTCCCTACCAGCATGTCCAGCGATTTAGCTGAAAACATTGGAAGAGCCGTTTTGTCGGCCATCCAACGATTCAGCGGTAGTGCACCCGCGACCTCACAAACGCCGCAGCACTTGGTAAGTTTATTGTATAGCATTTTGGACGGGTTGATAGCAGTGTTAGCAAAACTAGCAAAGCTAAATTACTTAGCTAGTCCTCAATTATTTCATTTGGTAGGCAGCAGACAGAGATCGAACATCATACAACTCTATTTATTTATTTGGTAGGAAGGTAACAGTCGTTCTTGATGTAAATGTTTCCTTAGGAATCCAGCAATGCACCTGGACCAAGTAGACCTGCCGTCTCCACTGGGATACCATACTGCTCGGTAGGCCTTCTTACACATATCATTTAATTTATTTATCATGAAATTTCCCCTTGTGGGACTAATAAAGGTATGTTATCTTATCTTAGCTGACTGGTTTTGATATACAGTCAGGTTCATAAATATTTGGATACAGACACATTTTCTAATGTTGCTTCTGTACATTACCAGAATGAATTAAAAATGAAATGACTTCAATGCAGTTGAAGTGCAGACTTTAAGTTTTAATTCAGTGGGTTGGACTAAATGAATGCATAAAAATGTGAGAGGGAAAAATTAATTTGTAAACACAATCCTATCATTTCAGAGGCTCTAAAGTAATTAGACAAATTAAATAACTGAAAATAAAATGATAATTTCTATTACTTTATTCAAAACCCTTTGTTGGCAATGACAGCCTGAAGTCTTGAAGTCATGGACACCACCAGATGCTGGCATTCCTCCTTACTAAGGCTCTGCCAGGCCTTTACTGCATTGGCTTTCAGTTGCTGTTTGTTTGTGGGCCTTTCTGTCCTAAATTTAGTCTTCAACAACTGAAATGTATGCTCAATTGGGTTAAAATCCAGTGACTGACTTGGCCATTCAAGAATATTCTATTTCTTTACTTTATTAAAGTCATGGGGTGCTTGGACTGTATGTTTTGGGTCATCTTCCATCTTTATTATTAAATGCTGCCCAATCAATGTGACTACTTTTAGCTGGACTTAAGCAGACAAGTATGTCTCTGAACACATTCAGCTGCTTCAGTCCTGTGTCACATATTCAGTAAACACTACCAGTGCCACTGGCAGCCATGCACGCCCAAACCATCACACTGCCTCTGCCATGTTTTACAGATGATGTGGTATGCTTTGGATCATGAGTCGTTCCACCCTTCTCCATACTTTTTTCTTGCCATCATTCTGGTAGAGGTTGATCTTGGTTTTATCTGTCCAAAGAATGTTTTTCCAAAATTTTGCTGGCTTTTACTAGATGTTTTTTTTTTTTTTGTTAAGTCCATTCTAGCCTTTCTATTCTTGAGGCTTATGAGTGGCTTGCACCTTGCAGTGAACCCTCTGTATTAGGGCTGTTCGATATGACGATATGAAAACATCTATCATTTCATATTATACGCTATCATTTGTTCTGTGGTGTCGCAAAATAAATTTTACGTCAATATTTTTCATCGTTTTGATGGTCACTGTAGTGGCTGTATTAATTTCTTAATTTTCTTTTTTCTGTTATGTTCTCTTTGACCGCATGTTGTCTGTTCACAGTAAAATTTTCAAAATGCAAACACTACGTCTCAAATAAATTCCAGGCCTTTTATCTGCTTAATTGGTAATGACATCATCATTTTAATATGGATACCCTAAATTAAAGCTTAGTCTGCACATCATGTCCATGATATAATTTTGATTGGAATATGTTTCAGTAAACGGGCAACAAAATAAAACTTGTTAGGGTCCAAATACACACTGACCTAACTGCAGGCCTTTTCTACTCTAATTGAGTGCTCAAAGCACTTTATACAACAGATCTCATTTACCCATTCACAGGCACAGATTGATACAAGCACTTTTTCTGTCCAACATTCGCACACAGTCATACTCAGATAAACCCATTGGTAGCTGTAGATTAGAGCACCTGGGAACTGAATCACCAACTTGACCAACAATCAATGCTAATCTACAAGATACAAAAGGTTCAGTTTTCTGTGTAATGGGTAGACAATAGTAAGATGGTCTGAGTCTACAGTTTGTTTGTTTGTTTTTAATGAACAGATAATAGAAACCTTACGGATGTATTGTAATGCATAGGTGTCTATCTGTGTTTGAATTCATTTCAGGTTCCTCTTCCATCAGTTCCTCAAGCTCATGCTACGCGCTCACATTTTGTGAGAAAAAACAAGACCTGCAAACACTATACAAAAGATGTTGTGTGCTTGCCCTTGTCTTCAGCATCAACGTTTCTCATACCGAGAGGAGATTCACGAGCAAAACTAGCACAAGATGGCCTTATTGGGAAGATCTCCTTTACATCTGACTGGTCTGAAGCACAACTTAGAGAAGAAATAGCAGCAATCTTCAGAAGAACATTTGCACTGTCAACTGGCCAGACATTCCCTTTTGAGTATTTGAGTACAATTAGAGGATGTAAACGACTAATGAAACCAAATGTTTCTAGCAGTTTTCTTTGGGGTGGCCAAGAAGTTGGCTCGATTTGTTCCACCACCTGCCTCTATATAATGGCAGGGATACAAAAACCTGCACAGGTAAACATTTTATATTGCAGTGCAGAAATATTTATTGTCTAAAAAGTGAGTCTGTTCCCTTAACATAATTTTATTAATTGTATTAATTAATATTGCAGTTTCAGCAGGTGTAAACAGTTTTTAGTGCAGCCATGTGCCTCTGTGTTACCAGTGATTTGGTGCAACTGTATTTGATTTTATGTAGAACATGCTTTCTTTTCCCTCAGGAGGAACCAGAAGAGCTGTCTGATAGTGACTTTGAAAGTCCAGTCTGCCGGAGAAGACGAGGTATGTGATGTGAATGAAAACCTAGTGAGGTTCTAAGCTCGATGACCAGTTAGATTTTGTTACTGCAGTGCGTAATAATTCCTGGGGGTTTGTTTGATGAGAGCATCGTTAATTTGTCCGATTGGGGCGATCGTGGCTCAAGAGTTGGGAGTTTGCCTTGTAATCGGAAGGTTGCCGGTTCGAGCCCCGGCTCGGACAGTCTCGGTCGTTGTGTCCTTGGGCAAGACACTTCACCTACCGCCTACTGGTGTTGGCCAGAAGGGCCGATGGCGCGATATGGCAGCCTCGCCTCTGTCAGTCTGCCCCAGGGCAGCTGTGGCTACAACTGTAGCTTGCCTTCACCAGTGTGTGACTGGGTGGATGACTGGGTGTGTAAAGCGCTTTGGGGTCCTTAGGGGGACTAGTAAAAGCGCTATACAAATACAGGCCATTTACCATTTTAATGTTTACAAATTATCACAGGTGATTACAGCCAAGGAGGAATATGTGCCCAACTTTCACTTAAACTAATATA